TGTTGGTTTTTTTGGTAAAAGTGAACTGCAAATCAATAAATATATATTTAAAAATTGTTTCTACCCATAAGTGCTAATCCTGTGAAGTCAGACAGGCACAAAATATATTCACCTTTGCAGATGCACAGTTTCAATTTTAAGGCCAGTTATGATAATCTAGATTGACATTCTGCATAACTCAGACCAGTAGAAGCTGAAATTTTAAATAGTATATTTTTTCTCCTTTTACAGAAACTATGCCTTGCTATACTACAAAGGTATCATTTAGTCTCCAGCTCTGAAGATCAGAAATCTCTAAGACACTGAGGGATACCAGAAAAACTCAATTTTTGTCTATGTGAATGGAAAACATTGATATCATGGAAAGTCATAAGCAGCTCTTAAATAATGATCACAGAATTTCTTATTTGTTACCATACTTGCTTTCAACAACTACAGACAAAATTGCAAGGACTAAATAGTTTTCATCAGATGAAATTTCACTTTTTAAATTAACATATTTATTTTCAAGTCAACAGCAACAAGCACTAAATTATACGCGGCTAAGGCCCTCATCGTGCAAACACTTATACATGTGCTGTACTTCATGACTGTGAATAGTACTATTGCAATCAATGGGGTTACAGTAGTAAAGTTAAGCAGATATGTGTTTGCAGGATAGGGGCCTTAAACAGTATCTGGTTTATATTCTGTTGTGGTTCAGCTGAAAAAAGATTTGTTCCTGTGCAAACAGTGGAAGTGTTAATGCTTTAGAAAATGCATGTGATCTATTATATTTTAAAGACCAAATGACTAATTCAATTGTTTGCAATAGTTCTTAATGGTAGATTTAAATACATTGTTTACGGGTGATGTTTTTACTTTCTGCTGTTCAGAAAGGTCCTTCTCTGGTTTTTCAGCTTAAATAAATTCCAGCAAGTAGACACTCAGTATGGAGTCGTTTAAAATACTGTTGCTTTTTTCAATTATATTACAAGCATTGAAATGATCACAAATATTAGTACACAGGTGACTGGAATTTTTGTGGTAAGCAATTTTTAAATAATAGTTTGGCAATGGCTTAATAGGACTTTAAAGAAAAATAATCTCTGGGAAGAAGTTTGAATGAATAAAACATCATGAAAATATTTAAAAACCAAGCAGTTTGACTAATATTGATAGTTCTGAATTACAGTATTTTTGTTGGTATAACAATGAATTTTTTTTTTATGTAATGCAAATGCCTTAGTTCTATAAGTATGATGATTTTGCTGGTTATGATATTTGTTTTGCTTATTTTGTAATCTGTTATACATAATTCTGTAAGTGTACATACTGTAGAATGATTTAGTTTTGCATATGAACAATTTTCATTTATTAAATCAACTTTAAATCTAAAAATACTAATTGAAACTTGAAGCCATTTAATTAAAATCATCCTAAACTGTGTAAGTGTGAATGTGGGAGAAACATGTAATAAAGAGTAGTAACATCATGAGGATGACATATTACAGAAGAGTGATAGTTCTGCTATAGCCGGTGAGATAAAGACCAGTTTCTGGTTAAAGTTCACCAATACTATATGGTGAGCAAAGAGGAGTATCAGAAATACTACTTAGGCCTGGGCTACACTAGTGGGGTGGTTCGAACTAAGATACGCAACTTCAGCTACGCTATTTGCGTAGCTGAAATTGAAGTATCTTAGTTCAACTTACCTGGCTGTCCTCACGGCGGCGAGTTGACTGCCACGGCTCCCCCGTCGACACCGCTTACTCCTCCTGCCGAGGTGGAGTACGGGCGTCGATTCGTGGATCGATTTATCGTGTCCAGACGAGACATGATAAATCGATCCCAGTTACATCGAACTGTATCCGCCGATCTGGTGGGTAGTACAGACGTACCCTCAAAGAGGTAACTAAAATAATATTTTTATTGCATTTATAAGAACAATTTTGAAAATATGATTTTACAATATTAAATTATTTTTCTACATTTGTTATACTGGTAAAGATAAGGTGAGATTCATTGGCCCCCAAATATTATGTAAAATACCTCAGATCAATAATATGGTGTGAAAATAATACAACTTATTAAACTCTAAGACCCTGATCCTGTAAACACTTACCAACATGCTCAACATTAACCATATTAATAGTCCTATGACTACTCATTTGCATCACACATGGGTACCATAGATCATACCACTAAAATGATATAAGGGATATAGAAGTTACTGCATGACATTAGAAAGGGAGAAAAGACGGATTGTATTTAATTAATACTTTATGGCATGGAAAATCATATAATATATCAATATTATTTTAGTTTCTCTCCTTTATTTACTGATTTCGTGTAAACAACAATTGTAGAATGCCAGTTTTCAGCAAATACATATTTTTTGTTGCTTATACCCTTATGGCTTTTGCTAAAAAGAGTATTTTAAATAAATTTATTTTCAGGTTTATAGACTCAGATAATACAATTATCCTCTTATATGTTGTTATAAAGTACAGTAAATAAAATCATATATGGGATGTACTAATAAAACTGGGATCACCTTGCTGATCTTATAACAAATGCTAGGTAACAGGACCTTAGAGGTTTTATATATTTATTCATTTTATGAAGACTTAAAAAATTTACCAAACACCAACTAGATTGAGAGACTAAACCTATTAGACTTGGGCCAGATCCATTGGTAACACACTAGTCAGGTGCACTATTCCCCAGCTATCAGCTATTGGTAATGGGAAAAGTACTGGGATTTTGGTCCCGTCTTGGGTCCTGTATCTATCACATCAGCAGTGGATAGCAAGTGTTTTATAAAGGTGATGTTCCACCCTTTCTAGCTGCTAGGAGTTTTCTGTCTTTTTTTGCCTCATCCAGTGCTTCCTGACTGCTGTGAGAGGTGAGAGATGTATTGCTATTCTACTCCCCTGGACTGTCTATTTTTTTAGGTCTTCCTCCAAGCTAGTGACTAACTCCTGTGCCTGCCACTGCTACTGTTTACAGCTTTTCCAAGTAGCAATAATAAAGTTAAACTGTCCCAATTCTTGGCAGCTGAGACTCCCATGGTTGCTTGTAGTATCAAGGGCACAGGGCCGGCTTTAGGCCAATTCCCCCGATGCGGGCCCCGCGGGTAAGAGGGCCCCGCGCCCGTGCCTAAGAGGCCCCCGTGCCTTAGGCTCACCCGGCGGCGGTCCGCTCTGGCGGCATTTCAGCAGAGGAAGGGGGGGTCCGCTCCAGGGTCTTCCGTGGCATTTCGGCGGTGGGGGGTCTTTCAGTGCCGCGGAAGATGTGGAGTGGACCCCCCGCCACCGAAGTGCCGCCGAAGACCCGGATCACGGAATCGGGCCCCGCAGGTCCTAAAGCTGGCCCTGCAAGGGTATATTTTTTACATTCTTCAGGAAGTGTGTAGAGCTGACCTACATGTCAAATATATATTTTTGTGCTGCTGCTATTCCAGTTTACAAAACGGTCTGGATTTTTTGGTGCAAGCAAAGTGACTACACTTGTTCTTTATGTATTTGGTGTAGCGCTCATGTTCTGAGATGCATAAGGGTCTGGAAATGCAGTCAGTCATTCTCTATACTCGTGTTGCAATTGGGGCCAAAATTAGACAGGTTCTGCTTTTATCTTAGAGTTACTCTAGATTTATCCCAGTGTAGTTGTGGGCAGCATTCACTGTTGCTAGCTCATAATTAAATCTGCGAGTCTTTCACAGAAGTCACGGATTCTGTGATTTTCCGAGCCCTCCATGACTTCTGCAGCTGCAACAGCTGTCCACAGGGCCTTACTCATACTACTTGGCATTTTTCCTTGAAGGATTCTGATTATTAGCAACCTCTTGGCTCCCAGAAAAACTCTTATCCAAGAGTTGTCCATAAGTGAAAGACAAGGTGGATGAGGTAGTAGTGACCTGTTTCTGTTGGTGAAAGAGAGACAAGCTTTCCATATCCTTGGACCAACAGGGCTACAACAACAATGCCTAAAATAAGTGAAAGGAAGGCTTGTGGGGCTTCAATCAAGGAAGAAAGTGCTGGGATGTGCCTTCAGTGGATGCAGACTACAAACCTGCCTGTTCCCCACAAGTGGTATGTGACTGGGGCACCCACATTACCACCCAATGGGGGAGCCTCTGCCAGAGTCCCGGTGCTGTGGGCTGGGAAGGGTGGATGTGGCCAAGGCAACAGTGGGCTGAGGGGCTGCAGCCCCGATTCAGGGGCTTTCCCCAGGGACCGTGGATGATTGAGGCCTGTGGAGACGGATGGTACCTCTCCCTGTGGTCTACAGACCGTGCCCTTCCCTGACATCTGGCCTCGGCATTCCTAGCACTTCCCTCCCTGCCAACCTGCCTGCAGCCAGAGCCTTTCTTTCAAAAAAGTTGTTCCTAAGCAGGAAGTAGCATGCCTGTTGCTAACATCCGAATCCCATTCACACTCAAGTCAATGGGATGGGATCAGTTCTGGGCATAATGTTGCTATTAAGCAAATGTTAATATGGGCATTGCTAGGCAGTGGCATCTCCCTAATGACGTGAGAACCTCGCTTGTCATTTTCAATCGTTCCTAACCCTCCCGCCTGCAGAGACCCGCTGGACTTTCTCGCCCTAGGTTATCCTGCAGGCGCGGGAACCAAAAGACCCCCGCTGGCAATGCTGGAGCTGCTCTTTGGCTGCGTGTTTCTTCCCGAGCTCCGCTTGCTGCTAAAGCAGATCCAGGGATTAACACCACACCGGGCACCGCAAGGGCTCCTGCGGCCTTAGGCAACCCCACTGCCCAGGGGTAGAGCAACGAGGGCGCGTCCCCCTTCTGCGGCTCCGCCCGGCGCGGTCTCCCCAGCGGCGGGAAGCCGGCGCCAAAGCCCCGGGGAGCCGCCCGGCGGGTGGGAAGGGAAGCGAGCACAGCAGGGGAATCCCCGCGCGGCCGCAGGTGCAGGCAGGGAGCTAATGCGCCCAGCGCAGGCGGCGACGGCAGCGCTCGGGCTATGTAGGGGCGCGGGGATGCGCGGGCTCCCGGCAGCATGGCAGAGCAGCTCTTCCGTAAGGGGGTGTCCGCGGTGATCAGCTGTGCGGGCTGCGAGGAGAGGTGAGTGCCGCCGGGAGCTGGGGGAGGGTCCGCTCCGGGAGAGAGCCGGGCTGGGCTCCAGGGGGGTAAGCAGAGCCTGCAAAGGGAAGCCAGGTGCGAAGGCTGGTTCCGCGCTGCGAAAGGAGGGGTCTGGAGGAAGTACCCCCAAGCTTCTTGCATGTTGTTTTCAGAAATGTTGGGCTAGGCAGTATTGTTAATTGGGATCACTAGCCCCAGCTGCGTGGTAACAGCCGCAGCCTCACCCAAACTGACAAACTCAGAACACTTTACTTGTAGCATTAAAAAACACTCCTGCTTTCCTCTTCTAATAACCCCCTTGCTTTATAAATATATTCGCACAAGATACTGATGCCTTAAAGCCTTGTCACAAACACATTCAATAGTTCAGAGCTGTCAACTGTAAACATGCAGGACTCATGAGTTTGGGTTAAAAATGATTTTGTTCTTAAATGGTAAATGTTGTATTCTTTTTATCTGCTTTTTGTGTTTTTGAGCCTGTGGGGGAGTCCCGTTTTCAAGTCTTCCCCACAACCAGGAGGACTAGAAACTTTTATTTTTTTTAAAATAAGTTGAGATTTTCATCTAACCACATGACTCAAGGATTGGGGGCTTTAAGAAACACCAAATATTATGAGACTCATGAAAATATTGTGAGAATTATCAATGTTGCAAATTGTTAGGCAGTGACATAAAATGGTCTCACAGAAGTGCAAGGTAAGTCATAAACATGCTTTGTACATTCTAAAGGAAAATCTTGAATAATCCTAGTTTGAGGAGCAGTATGTATGCTATATTGCAGGGGTCAGCAACCTTTCAGAAGTGGTGTGCCGAGTCTTCATTTATTCACTCTAATTTAAGGTTTCGTGTGCCAGTAATACATTTTAACGTTTTTAGAAAGTCTCTTTCTATAAGTCTATAATATATAACTAAACTTGTTGTATGTAAAGTAAATAAGGTTTTTAAAATGTTTAAGAAACTTCATTTAAAATTAAATTAAAATGCAGAGCCCCTGGACGGGTGGCCAGGACCCGGGCAGTGTGAGTGCCACTGAAAATCTGCTCGTGTGCCGCCTTTGGCACGTGTGCCATAGGTTGCCTACCCCTGCTATGTTGTCTTTCTCTCATATATCACACACTATTTTTCTTCTCCCTTCCCATTATTTCTACAACCTCCTGCCTTCATAAATATCAAAACTACTTACAAAAATCTAAAAGTCATATTAGTATCATTTTTTTTATATCCAGTAGTTCTACCACCTTAATTCTTTCCTACAAATTAAACGATAAAACTTTAAATTTAATGTGTAGTCAGCTGTTTAGTTATCTGGTGTTAAGAACTCGCTGTTATGCTGGGATAGGCCTTGAAGCAGTTGATGTGATCAGTACTTTGCACATTACATGCAGACAGGGCTGGACCCTAGATCAAATAGCACACCAGGTGAGGAGCATCTTCGGCACCCTCCCCTCCATTAGTAAATGTTTGAATACCTTATTTTTATTGCATTTGTAGCCCATTTCATGACTTTGATGCATGATTTATCTCTGTCATATAAGAAAATAAATTCGCACACTAGAATCTGTAAATCTGTATTTATTCATGCCATATATAAGCAAATAAAAAAAGTAGTTTCCTCTAGGCTTATAGAAACTTTTAAATTTTAAGAATAACTGAAATGTACTAATATCAAGAAATTGAACTGTGTATCAACATTGGGCGGACCAGTAGTAAATAGTGTTACAGTAAGTGACCGCCTTAGAATGTTAAACATAGTCCTTTAGTTCAAAAGGTCGCTTTTCTCGCCTTTGCCGTTGTGAACTGAAGCACAGCGTCCGAGAGATCCAAAGACTGGTCAATGGCATTTCCAAGAGATAAAATAGTAAGCTATGTCAGTCTCTCATCGGGCATTGTCGATTGAAGATATGTTTTAATGAGCTTCAGCTTTGAAAAGCTGCTCTCACTACTTGACTGACCGGCAGCATGAACAGAATCCTCAAAGCTATCCACACATTAGGAAAAGCATCCTTCAGCTCTGCATCATGAATGAATTGGAGAACTTGGAGTGGAGACTGCTTACTTAGGTCATACAATCCTCCCTCTCCTCACCCCCCACCCCCCAGGTCTTTTTGTGGTGCTTCATTTGTCCGAACCTTTCTTCGATGGACAATCGAGCAGGGTCAATGAGCAAGCAAAAAACCTCCGTCTTTAATTTTTCTTCCACGCTTCCCATCACCTCATCTCTGCCCTTGCAATCAACTCTCTCTTCTTCCAATGAATGAGTTTCCTTGAAGACAGGCTCAACTCCTAAGTTTTCTGCCATTTCTTTGGCAGCAGTGCTGGATCTTCAAAACTGTTGTCTCTGGAGGCCATAACGAAATCAAGGCATCTTCTCATCAAAAGTGGTAGCAGTCGCGATGTCCATCGACTGAGTTTGTAATGCCTTGCTTACAACATTTACTTGGAACAGGATATCATGCCAAACCACAATTGAGATCAGAAATTTGAAGTTAGTTCAAAATTGTACGATCAGTATCAGCAGAGTTTTATCTACGGCCATAAAGCAGGATCTGATGTATCCATTTGTGGCATGCAATTTTTCTCACTGCTGTTTCTGTCATCATGCAAGGCTGATTCTTCTCTATTGCTTCTCTTTTTCATGTAAACCAGATTTTTCTTCGTCATTGCTCTCCTTTTCACGTGAGCAACATTCTTCATCATCACTCTCTTTTACGCTGCTAGGAAAACTGGATGATTCTCCATCACTTTCCTGACATTTCCATTCCTTATCTTTAGGTAAATCTGCTAATAACTTAATAATAGGACTTCCATCATTTACGCTTTGCTCCTCAATTTCCTCTGCACTGGGACAATCGCTACCAGTATATGTTCTGTTTCAGATATTTCCCCATCAATTTGCCCCTTGCTGCAAACTAGATAGCAATGGAGCTTTTCGCTTCACATACTGAGCTCCTGAAGTCTTCTTTGCAAGATGCCCCCAAAGGTGGCATGGGAACCTTATTTTCCACATATGGCCGAGTTGTCTATTAAGTTTCAGCTAAAGGATGGCGTCTGCAGCACCCAATGCCCCCTAGGACCCTGTTGGGTGCTGGTTCAGTATTAAATCAGATGGAGGAGTGCATAGGTGCCGACTTCCCTTCTGCCCAGTGGGTGCTCGACCCCCTCCCCACCGGCCTGCCCCTGCACTGCCCGTGCTCCACCCCCATTCCACCCCTTCCCCAAAGTCCCCACCCCAGCCCTTCACCCATTCCAGCCCCTTCCCCCAAGTCCCCGCCCCTGCCCTGCTTCTTCTCCGCTTCCTCCCCTGAGCACGCCGCATCCCCACTCCTCCCCCTCCCTCCCGGAAAGTCCTAAGCGCCGCCAAACAGCTGTTAGGCGGTGTGTGTGTGTGGGAGGAAATGGGAAGCGCTGGGAGGGAGGGGGAGGAGCAGGGACGCGGCGGGCTCGGGAGAATGGCTGCCGGTGGGTGTGGAGCACCTGCTAATTTTTCCCTGTGGGTACTCCAGCCCCAGAGCACCCATGGAGTCAGCACCTATGGAGGAGTGTCACCTTCTGAGTGCCCAACTCTGGGTCTCTCAAGATTTAATTATTCCATGTAAGTATCTCATCTGAATGCTGACCTAGCTTGGGAGAACTGAGTAAATATTCCTACGTGCTGAAATGGACCTGGACTGAAATCACATATTCAGTCACAAATGTCAATTATCTTAAATTCTTCCTGGTCTCCATTTGCGCAGATTACAAACCCACCACATAAATCAGTATGACTTGCACACTGCTAAAGAGCAGCCTAGAAGAGTTGGAAGGAGAAAGTGAGAAATGTAAAAATCGTACTCTAGGCATGACATTACTCTTGTCTCCTCTGTTAGTTGTTTTCCTGGCTATATTACTTTGTTTTGTATTTGCCAACTGCAGTAGTGTCATAGTATTGTCTTACAAACTTGAGGATTTCTTTGATAAATATCACAGAATGATGTGGCAAGGTAAAGCTGCGACCAGATTGTTGCTGTAGCTGGGTCATGATACATCTTGTAGGAATGTTTCAGGACTGCAGTGCATGACTTAAATCAGGGTTATTTGTTGGAAGCACTTGAATGGCAAATTTAGCACAGTCTCTGCTCCCCTCCCATGAATTCAGGAAGAGCGCTCTGGTGGGAATTTCAGGACCTCACTGAAGCATCATCTTTGCTATCATCCTGGACTCAGAAGGAGTATGGTAAATGTTTAGAACTCTATACATGAGAGAGAGTCCCATGAGGAGAACTAACAGGTCAGCAAGAGCCTAGAAAGATTACTAGGGAAGGTGGTACACTTGAGCATGTCTACACTGCAATAAAACCATGGCTGGCCCATGTAGTTGACACAAGGTCACGGGCCTCAGGCTGTGGGGCTATAAAATTGCAGTGTACATGTTTGGGCTCCCTTGGGGTACCAGAGCCTGAACATCTACACTGCAATTTCATAGCCCCATAGCCCTGCAAGCCTGAGTCAGCTGACATGAGCCAGCCGTGAGTGTTTTATGCAGTGTAGACATATCCTTGGATGTTACAGTCCAAGCAGACTGAAAGCTATAAGCAAATATCATACACAGTGTTAGTGTTGGCTTTAAAAAAGCAGATTTTCTTGGATATGACTAAAATTACAGCACTACTGTCAGATTGATAAGCAAAATCACTCTAGGGAGGGAGAGTATAATGTAGAAAGGAATCGTTTAGGGCACTAATTGGATATCTTAAAATATTAGAAATAGGATATGCAGACATTCTAGGCTGTCAGTTTGAACCCTGCTCAGATAGCTATTTGGTCTATAAGAAGTGAGTAGAGTGATGAGTTGTCCACATGAAATCCACAACCATAAATGCCATTGGTGGCTTTGTTGGTAACCTTGGAATAGAAGCCAAGTATGGAAAGCACACGGTTGAGTCACTTCAGTGGGATAGTTCAAACATGTCCATACTGTTTCTTTGTTTCTTCCTGTGCTCTGTGTGTTTTGTGTTTTAAAGAGATAAGTTTAGTTTCTGTGCTGTTTTCTGGTGTCTTATGAGCATTATGCTTTTCTTTCTTTCTTTTTCTTTCTTACTTTTAAACACACACCACTTTTCCAAAACACAGTTTTAAAGATCTTTCCTAACCATCAATATCTTTCCTCCCCCACCTAGCAATAATTCATAGAGTGAGCAATAAAAAGAGATCCTGGCCATTAGCTGTCTTAGCAATCATGACTTGGAGTAGGATTCCTGTATGCCTCATTACGCTGCCTTGATTAGGAGTGGTTGATGTGTTTTTGTTCAGTTTTGATGAGAAGTTGCTCCCAAAATTTCTATTCCATGATAAAAAGGAATAGTAAATTGACAAATGGTTTTTTTAATTTCGTCTCATTTTTGACTATCTCTAGACTTGTGTCCAAGCAGAGCAGCAAGGCTCACTTTATTGGAAGGAAACATTGATGTGTATTCTCACATCAAATGTAAGCATGATTCTGCAGTCTTAAAAAAAAAATTAACCTACTTTGTGTTTTTGATCTACCTGCTTTCCCAAAGTGTGTCTGATGAAGATTGTCTTCCTCTTGCAGGTAAATGTTTAGATGAGCATGAAGATAGTTTCAAAAAGATAACACCTTTTGCGAAACATCATATTTTTAAATGAACCATGTAAAGACGTGTCATTTTTGTGAACCTTTGGCTAGCTTGATTCTGTACTCTCTGAGGGTATGTCTAGGCTGCTGTAAGCCCAGGGTTCATACTCTGGATCAAGCATAACCACCCTTCCATCTAAACACAAATTATGTTATCCCAGGGCTCAGATCCACCCAATGAGGGTGGATGGTCTGAATCTGAGTCAAACCAGGACCCACGGTTCAAGCACTATTGCTTTGCAGTGTAGATGCAGCCACACTGGACTTTTGCTCTGGGAGTGCACCAAAAGTATTCCATGATCCCATGGGCTGACTGTTCTCTGGACACTCTAGTTTGTGGACAGTAAAATTTTCCTATGCTGCACCACGAACGAAGAACTAGAGTGGCCACATTTTGGGAGGGCACTAGGAAACTTGGGATACGGGTGGTTGGACTCAGGCCCACGTAATGTAGTGTAGACTCTGGAATCCCAGGTTGAGATTCAGGGTTCAACAGTTCTTAACCTGGGGTTACAAATGTGTGTCAGTGCTGAAGCTATAGGTTAACAAACCCAGCATCTGCTAACTCGAGATCTACTAACCATCTGAAGGATGACCCCTCAAACACTATAGGACACAGTAATTATAACTTTTGATTTCTAAATATTGTATAAGTAAAGAAGCGCACATTCACATTCCTCCAAGTCAGCTGTGCTAATTGTCACATCAGATGTTTTTGTCATGGGATACCATTTTTTCTTTAATTTTAGTGGATTTAGTTCTAAATTGACACTTTTGGACACTCAATTCTTTTATTTAATTAACAAAACAAATACTGGGCAGCAGAAGTACAAACTTCCCCATACTGCCCTGCCAACATCTCTCAACCCTGAAACGGGGGGGAAGGGAGGCATCTTTAAAGGTAAGAGCGTTCCATTGTATTTTACTGTAGCAGTGGCTTACATGTATGCAAGACTTGAAAATTGCTCATGTCAAAAGGGATTCCAACTGAACAGTGAATGAATGTAGCCCTATAACCTGCTTGTCTGATAGCAGCACTTCCATGACACTGATCATCACTGTAGCCTTGCTGTAAGGACTTGGGCTGAGTGAGGAGCATATGACTGATCACAAGAGTGCTTCCAGCTTAGCCTAACGCAGAATACTCATGGACCAGGGCAGTATGGGGAGCTCCAATGTATATGCCATGGCATATACGGGACTAATTGGTAGAGATTATTCACATTTAAGATTGTAGACAGCCTTCTATTTATGCCTGAAACAGGCCTCCCTCTATGAAATGGTCTTTCAGTTTCAAATCTCTACCTGGCATATGTGTGTACTTTTTTTTTTGTTAGCTAAATTTGGGGAAAATCAGAAGTAATTTCTGAGATAAAGGAGTTTGGAAAGTCAGATGCGAATTGCCCCTCAGGTATTGTGTGTTTATCTAGTGTGCAAATGATCTGATGGACTTCGGAAACCTCTGAAAAGTTCTGATGGGCTCTTACTCTGTTGCTCAAGTACTGTACCTTCCCTCCAGCATGTGTGCACACATTATCATCTCCTCCTGTCGTAAACTTGGTTTAATACACTTATTCTTACAGGTACATGGCTCTTTTTGTGCTCACAAGGAGCTACAAGTGTTCTAAACGTGTTGTGGGCTCCTCATGACTCTGAGACCAGGCCAACACTAGGAATTTACATTGGTATGGGTACGATTCTCAAGGGTGTGAAAAATCTACAGCCCTGGAAGACATAGCTATACCAACCTAACCCCTGGCGTTGACAGTGCTAGGTCGACGGAAGAATTCTTCCGTCGACCTACCTACTGCCTCTCGGGGAGGTGGATTATCTAAACAGATGGGAGTTGCGCCATTGTAGTGTTTTAAGTATAGACATACCCTTTAGGCCTTATGTAGATTTCAGGGGAATTAGTAATCTGCCATATTCCCTGAGACAAAGGTGCAAACCACCACCTTGTAAATGTATCACCTCCCATTTCCTCTTGCATGCCCGTGGTTTAATGTATTTGGTCCTTCAGCAATTCTAAATACCACAGGATCCTTAGCAGTGCTGATGGGTTCAATTCTGATGACTCTCAATCAGATAGATAAATCAGCCCAATACAGAAAGGGTTAATACTTTACCCAATCTGGAGAACAGGCATGCAGCTTACATCTTCACTGTTCCAAAACTATTAACTCAGTTTTGCTCATATTTATACCTTGCTTGTTTACAGCAGAGAGCGATTTTATAGTATTACCACAAACCTTTCATCCCTTTTCTTATCTAATTTTCTACATATTTTGAAGTTCACACAGACCTTTGTAACAATTATCCCTAGAAGATAACAAGCTGCTTCTAGCACAATGTTTATTTTTGACAATACTTCTGACAGATTCTGCATATGCAAACAGAGATTACATATAGTTTACTTGCTAATAAGTTTCTACAATAAAGGGTAGCATGAATACAAAACATTCTGTAAAATGCAACATATTTATACAACTTAGCATGCTTTTAAACTTTTCTGAGAAATATGATATTGTCTAACAGTAGAACCACCTTGTCTAAGAAATGGAGGAATTCTTGAGGCTTTGCTTCCACAGGATAACTGGATAACTGGAACATTCTGATTTCTTAAGTCCAAAGCTGAGACTTGGTTCTGAAATTTAATCATCTGTATATGCAGCTTTGAGGAATTTATGGTGCAGTTTTAGCAAGGCAGGGGACCACAAGATGTTAATTAGCATAGTGTAACTTCATGTAGGATGTAATTAAATTTATATAATTGGAGAATAAACAATTTCCTGTCACAACAGTACCATTATTTTTTCTTTAAAACTTTTATTAAAAATAATTAAGAAATTGTTCAATCTTGCCTGTGTCCCTTTGTACTCACTGTATTTGCTCCTGTTGCGCCGTCTGACTTGGATTAAGATGATAGGTTGGTGGCCCCATTGGTGTTGCCAGACTGGAGCCTTTCAAATCTTGTACTCCTGGTTTCTAATTGCCAGTATGTCATTGAATTCTTGAGAACATTTTATGGGAGTGATGCAACACAGCTGAGACAGGGAAGATATTTTACTTTAGCTTTTAATGCTTTAATTTAGCGTAGACTGATTGCTAAGATGGCATTTTTCAGAAGAGCTCAGCTCCCATTTAGGCATCAAAATAACTGGCCAGATTTTCATAAGTTATCACCACATTTGATGCTGAGTTGTTTTGAAACTCTAGCACATATTTAGGTGCCTAAATGGGAGCTGACCCCTGAGTAGGTGCTGAGCTCTTCTGAAAATTTGGCTCTCAGCATTGAAAATAGAGGATCTAGTTAGTGCTGTAGTTTTTATTCTTGGTTTAGCGTTCTCCATGTCTCTCAAGGTGAAGTAACCACAGTATGGAGAGGCCTGGGGAATTTAAGGTCCTGTCTACTAGAGATCTGTCACTGCTGTTTCTGGTGGTTGGATAATGCCCAGACCCTTTCCTGTAGAGGCTCCCCGTTCCTCTGAGAGTGTGAATACTCCGTACTAAGGAAGATTTATTTAATAAAAATAAAATAATAAAAAAAAGTAACTTCTGAGAGTTCATTCCAAGAAGTTTTATAGGCTACTAAATCATTAGAAGAAAGTATTGATAAAAAGTTGAAACTTTGTTCCATTTATTTCTGAACTTAAGAAAAAAGTTGTAATGGTTGAAGAATCTCTTCAGTCCATGGACTCATGACTACAACACTAGCCAGTATTAAACACCCAAAATGAAAACCGGAAACAGTTAATATTGCAGTACACGGAAATCTAAAAGTATTAGGTCTGAAAGAGTGTTTGTAGATAGAAACAATACAGAGGATTAAGTTGTGCTGGTAACTATGGTACAAAATAGGGCAACAATTTTGAAAAGACTCATTGCATGTGCTTAACTTTGTGCACTGAGAGACGTCAGTCTTCATTAAATATTGATTACTGAACCTATTGACTGGTTAGGCTTTTGCAACTTCACTCAAATGTTTATAAATTTGTCTAGCCATACATAATTTTATTCCTAGGAGGAATGGAATTGTTTTGTTTTTTGTTTTTTTTTTTTTTTTTTTTTTTTTAACACCATGTTACAATATGTTTGTAGAAAGCATGAGTTCAAATGTTAATCTAGACCTTTTGATGAAATGTCTTTTGTTGAGTGTGAGAGTCTCTATTTATATTGCAGGAGGGCTGATATAAGGCTAACTGTTGAAACTTGTACATCATCAAGTCCTATCCATAAGAAGGTATGCTCTGTATCAAAAAATCATCTTTTGTACATCTGCTATCTTTTGTGTGCTAAAACAGAATGTAAAACTGCCTTGATGCAGTGACACAGGCTTTTTTGCTTTTTGCATTGCTTAAGATTCTGTAAGGTGCTATGAAACGTTTTTTGTAAATCTCTGTATAAACATATAATCTTGTGTTTAAATGTACCGTGATGTGTTTAGGGATCATACAAAATATTATTCTGATGATTTAAAATGCACATTGTAGATAAACTTGTCTACACTTGTCAATGTGAGTCACCACTAATATCTGCTATTATTTACCAAAATAAAAAAAGTCTGAACCAAAGGTGTGATAAAAGCACCACTTTAGTCACCTTGTACTTTGTATCTTAATTGTAGTACATTTGTCTTTTTTGTAAATGTAAATTTTTTGTGTCGTGTCTCCTGTATACTTTAACAGCATGCCGCTTGGCACCATAATGTTCAACAAAAAATGTTAATATAAATCTATCCTGACAGGAACTTACTGTGCGTATTACAGATGATGCAGATCCATTATTCTTGTATTCTGTTGCTATAGGAGAGGAAGATTTTCAGAGGTAATTGCTATTTGCTGCTTTTATCCAGGAAACAATGGAACTTGCTATCGTTGTGAACGTTGTTTTAAGAACAAATATGTACAATATTCTATGTTTCTTACTTAATTTACTGTTACTATAAACTCTTTGCAGTTTACATACCAGCTGCATTGTATTGTCATTTTAATATAATGTACTTACTGGTTGGTGTACGTGTCAGCATTTGAGTTCGGAAGCAGATTCTGTTCTGAAAGATTTCTTTGTGTCGTAGAGGAGTATAATTATAGGAAATGAGATGATGATCCTTCTTTAAAGTATTGTATTAATAATGTAAAACTTCTGTTAACATTGTAAAAAGTTGTCCTTGTTAGATACGCTGCCTAACAGAATGAATTCGGTTCTTTGAAAGTTCTGTTTTATGCTGTTAAAAATTAATTTTGTGAACTTTTGAGTTTTGTTCATGTAGTGTCAGAAGTTATGGTGCATATAGTATTGCTGTCTTTAGTAAAGTCAGTGTCTGGTGGCTTTTTACATAAGGGCGGGCGTTGGTATTAAAAAAGAAATGATGATGCTTTTCTCTTAAACTGTTTTGTAGTAACTATCTTTGTGTGTTCTCAAAGATATGGCTGTCTCATTTACTATCCAGGTCCTACTTTAATAGGAGGGAAGAAACTGAAACCTCCTAATAAGAGTACAGAGGAAAAACTGCCCAACTAAGGGAAACTGCTAATGACAAAAAAAAAATGTTGTTTGAATAATATAGAACTACCACCCAGATCCCATTTAGAAAAGCTAATTTGTTTTCTAGACTGACAATGTTTCAGAATAACGATTGTTTTCCCTTGACTGTTATCCTTTACCTTTGCCATCCTTTTGTTTCCTTTGCAGTTTAAAGAGCCAACAAGGATTGCTTGTAGATTTTTCAGCTTTTTCCCAGAAATTCATTGATTTGTTAGAACAATGCATTCTGGAACAAGGAAAACAAGTGCCTCGGTAAGGGCAGTTTCATTATTTTGATAGAATTTGGATTAGAAAGAACCATTCAATAAATGGAAATTCCTACCTGAGGGAGCATTTCACTGGAACCCTCACAGTTGGTTGTATGGGTGCTTGGATATCGTGGTGATGATGAGTAATGCCTTTACAAGTGCCAGCGATAGAGGTAGCCAGGGGAGCTGTTCATGTGGTTTTGTTTCTGAAATGTTCCTTAACTCTGCTAAGAAAAAATGGTAGAGGAAGACCACTTTGCTGTCCTATTGGTAATTTAAGAACTAAAATTCTCTTTCCTTGTCAAAGCTGAGGAAGATTAATTTTGTGAACTTTTGAGTTTTGTTCACATTCTCTCCATCACTCAGGACTGCAATGTGGATGTTGACTTGATTCCTCCATCGCCTCACATCCAGGCCATATCTAAATCTTGCCACTTCTTCCTCAGCTTTTCCAAGATTTCTCTTTCCATCCTCTCAAACAAATCTCTCATTCAGGCCCTCACTGTATGTCACTTTGCCTACTGCAACAACTTCCTCTCTGGTCTCCTTGAAATCCACACTGTCCCTGTCTGCTCCCTGCAAGATATTGCAGTTAAGGCCATTTTCATTGCCTCTTGTTTTGATGATGTTACTGCCCACTTTCAACCCTTCCACTTTCTCCCCATTCACTATTGAATCAGATTAAATCATCTAGTTACCATCTTCAAAGTTCTACATAACTCTGCCCTCTCTTACTTATTATCTGAGCTCGTCTCAGTTTGTGTGATTACCTGTTCTCAGCTTTGTGCATAAGCATTTATGGGTATGTCTGCACTGCAATCAGGAGGTGTGATTATAGCATCAAAGCTAGCTCAACTAACAATAGCAGTGAAGGTGTGGCAGCATAGGCAGATGCATAAGCTAGTCCTGCCTGCCCGTGTCCATAGGTGAGTACTCAAGTACCACTGCCCGGGCTGCTGCTGCTTCACTGCTTTTGTTACTTGAGCTAACTTTAATGCTGTAATCACATTTCCCAATTGGAGTGCAGACATACCCCGAATGCCATCTTTCATGCTGCCCTTGTGCATTGTATATTGGAACAGATGTTTGGGGAATATCTATCCTAGCCTTTTCAAATGCATTAGCTCCCAGAGTTAACTGTAAAAAAGAACTGTTGTAGATGAGGCCTAAAGGTTTTTAGTCTTCATGTGTGTTAGCAGGTTGAGGTAAACACAAAGGGAGAACCTAGGTATTACCTTGACCTGCTAGCATATGTTAAAACTACAATTGTCTTGTTTTTACTAGAATTTTATCTTGTTACCATGTGTTAGTAAACACACAATACACCTTTTTTCTAGTGAAGACAAATCCTGAGGGGCTACAACATTGTACCCAGCACTATTATTATTGTGTTAAACTGTGTATGCTAGATGTTAAGTGGTGCATCAAATCATGTAAGCTAACTCTGGGGGGGGGGGGGGACACGTTTTCCTTTAGTCCAGTGCTTCTCAAAGTCAGGCCGCCACTTGTTCAGGGAAAGACCCTGGCGGTCCAGGCCGGTTTGTTTACCTGCTGCGTCCGCAGGTTCGGCCAATCGCGGCTCCCACTGGCCGTGGTTCGCTGCTCCAGGCCAATGGGGGCTGCGGGAAGCAGCGCGGGCCGAGGGATGTGCTGGCCGCTCTTCCCGCAGCCCCCATTGGCCTGGAGTGGCGAACCATGGCCAGTGGGAGCTGCGATCGGCCAAACCTACGGACGCGGCAGGTAAACAAACCGGCCTGGACCGCCAGGGGCTTTCCCTGAACAAGCGGCGGCCCGACTTTGAGAAGTACTGCTCTAGTCTATTTCTCATGTAGATAGAACAACTTTGTACTTCTTGCTCCTTGATTAGTGCAGCACATCTAGGGTCTGTACTGGAGAAAGATGGGTCTAAAACTCATTTGAAAACGCAGTTTAAAAATGGCTTTCTCAATACCAGATTTGAACATAATTTGTCTACCTGTCTAGACAGTCAACATTGTTGTTCAAATAATTTTCCGAATTGATGTGATTGTCCATTCTGGTGGCCAGAATGTTGAGAGCTGGTCAAGAGGAGGCTCTTGGTTGAATTCTCAGATGTCTCAGTGTATCTATAAAATAATGGTGGGAGAAGCCCAGGGAGTCAGTGAAGTTTAAATGGCTGTAACCTTTTTAATTCAAGAGACTGTTGTTTTAAATACTTGTCTTTTTGTTGGTGTGTTTATAGGTTTTTAATTCAACTTGTAACATCTTCCCCAGCATTGGATTGCATGCCTGCATGTTTAAATGTAGTGGAAACCAATCCATTCAAACATCTCACTCACTTGTCTCTAAAGCTTTTGGCAGGAAGTGACAGTGACGTCAAGAAATATCTTGCCATCTGCATTAAAAATTTAAAGGTTAGCTTTAAGTCTTTCTTTTATTAAGAAATAACACAAATACTATCAATTAAAACCTTAATAGATCAGATAGAACAAGATAAGCCTTGAACCTTGGTACGATCCATGAAGGTTCATCCTTCCATGTAGAGCCCCATTGACTTGAATGGGTTTCCCAGTGGGGGTAGTGGTCCACACATGCAAATCCAATTCCAAGATCAAGCACCAAATTAGAAGGATATTTAAAGCATATGATTAGTACACTGGCTAGCTCTTATTGCTAAGCTGGTGCTATATGCATGTACCATATGTATAAGCAGTAAGCCTGATTCTCATCTTGGGTGTAACTCAAGTGACTTCAAAAGAGTTGCCTTTTTTTTGTTTTGTTTTTGTTTAGTTACCAGTTTAAATTAGATGAAAATTGGGCCCAATGTCTTAGATGTATATAAATACAAGTTTTTATCTTGTTGTATATTTATGCTTGAAAATAATAAGCAGTAACATTAGAAAGTTTCCATTTAATAGGCCTGCCTGGTATAACTAGACTGCAGTGGTTTGAAAACTATACTATGAGAGGGAAAAACTAAAGATGCTGAATGTGTTAAACCTATAATTAGTTCAAAACTCCTTCCTGGATCTTAAGCTAATGAATTTCCCTCAACTCCCAATGAGGATAATTTTGTAGCTAAAGGGAAGTTTTGTGCTATGGGAAAGAATTCCCTCCTCTCTAAATCTAGGCTGGCACAAGTAAGTCCCTTGCAGATGGTGTATATGCTGTTTGCTTCATAAGGATATTTCCCCCCCACCCATCTGCTATTTTAAAATCTCTTAAGTGAAGTGTGACTCCAATAACAGCTGAGTCTAAGTTTCAAACTATGATGAACAAGTGGGTTTGAAGTTAGGCAAAAGTATTCTGTTTCTAGAAGAAACAGAGAAATAAATACACATGACCAGCAAATTTGCATGGAGAATAAAAAATATTTAAGTGCTTTAGAGATCTTCCTTTTTAAATCAAATCCATTACAATATTGTGAGCAGATTTCTTTCCTCCATTTCTGCTTCTTCAATCATATAACTTACTGACATATTACTTACAATATTTGCTGTGTAGAAAGTGTAATGAAATTTTTTTTATTTTTTATTTTGCTAGTGGTTTGGAAGGAGACTTCCTAATTATTGTATATGGTCACCACTGATGATAATAATATGGTCATTTTACATATTGGTAAAGGTTCTTATTATAAAAGAAAAATCTAATTTTAGCGTGGACTGCTTAATGATTTATAATATAGTTTGTGGGGATTTGGTGTTTTTTAATAGATGGAAAACAGTATGTTGGAAGATAAACTACACAGATCAGAAGAGGGACTTTCAAAAAGACTAACTGTAACACAGCAGGTAGGAAGGAACCTTTATTTTAAAAAAACAAAACAAACCCTGAAAGTCTGGTGCTAAATCTATACTAAATTGACTTTAAAAAAAAAAATGTTACTGCTATACAAACAGAAATCAGCATGTGGTGATTTTTTTCAGGCTTTGGCAGAAAAAAGTAAGGAACTGGATAAACTGCAAAATGAATGGACATCACAGACCACTTCATTGACTAACAGGTACTCCCAAGAAATCACAGCAGAAAAGGAGAAAGTGCTACGGGTAAGTAGAAATATAGGCATCTGGCTCAGATAGAGCAGCACCAGAGTAACCTATAGATTGAATACTTCCTATCTATAGCATAGATATGCAAGAGTACTTCTTGGCAATCTGTTGAAGTAAATAGTCCCTCATCTAATAGCTTCTTCTTCTTTTAAAAAAAAAAAAAAAAAAAAAAGACTTCCTGAACTCTACAGTGAAGGGGGAATGTGTAAATGTTGAGTTTTAATATTGTTTGTATCTCTTGTGAGCCTGGTGTATGTTTTTTCTTTAACTGTATTTAATTGAATTTTAAATTAATATATCTGTATGTAAAATCAGATGTTTGTCTGTATGCTGTATATATGCATGATTAATATCCTTGTCTTCCTGCTTAAGATTCAAGCACAGTACCAGCTTCAGCATGAACAGCAAAAGAAAGAGATGGAAGCAACTTGCAACAGAAAAGTACATCACTTAGAAACCAGGGTATCTGAATTTGAAACTGTTAATAAGGATCTCACAGAGAAAAAATACAAGTCTGAATCTTCTATAAGGGAGCTGAAGTCCAAATTTGCAGGACTTGAAGAGGTATAGTAAAAGTAGTGTAATAAATGGTATGCTTATTGGGGAATTAAAAGTTGTTACTGGTAACATTTTTGCCTTTAAAAATCAATTCACTTAATGAATTCCAGTAAATTTAAGTCTTTTTGTGTCAGATATTTAGCTGATGTAAATCAGCATAGCTTCGCTTTAGTCATTGGAGCTCTGCCAGTTCACACCAGCTAAGGATCTGGCCCCTTATTTTGATACACTTAGGATGGGATATCCCAACCTTAAGATATTGTTACAGCTTGCTCCAGAGTAGTTCTGGGAGCTCTACAAGACCTTTATGTGTATGATGAGGAGGGGAGAATAAATAAAGCATATAAAATTGCTACATAAGTAGTTCTGACTTGAAATACAGTCTGTACTGAAATGTTTCCTCCAACCCAAACGTAACTGCTGTGTAATTATTGACCATAATTGTATGTTTATTTCTATTATGCAAATCTTTGCACTCTGGCTCAGGAAAATCTATTTGCATAAGCACTGTATAGCTGGATAATTGCTGTAGGGTTATTCAGAAACAAACCCCTGCACGGTAACTGGCTATTGCCCTCAGAATGCCCCATCCCTATACCTTTATCAAAGCTATTTGCCTAAACATTTACTCCTCTTTCTGTGCTATTGCTTCATATTAAATACAACTTAATTTAAGGAAGAGATTGCTTTTAATTAAGGAAGGAGGGAGATAAAGCATTTGTGGGAACTAAAGGCTAATTAGGGGGAGAGGCTTTTAGGTTGACCCAGGTCCTCAAAGGTTATGGACCCACAATGCTTATTGAAAGACATGTGACTGTGTTTTTCTAAATTAAAATACTTAAATCAAATCAAGAGAACATATCACCAAAGCTAATATATTCTTACTAATATTCAACTAAAAATAAGTCAAATCAAAACCTTTAGTAGTACTATTGAATTTGGGTTAAATCAAATTTAATACCAAAATAATCAGCTCTTATAAATTCTAGGAATGTGGCTGTCTGATAAAATTCTTTTAGTTGGGATTATTATTACAGATTTGATTGACTTTGTTTTTGGAGTTGGTTAAATGTCTTAACACAAATTATTATCTAACATTTGAAACTCAACATCAATGCCAGTTATAAAGGTTTCTTCTTAAAATTCAGTTCTTAGGTTTAGCCAGCACATTTCCTCTCTCCTTCAGGTGACCTGAAGAAGAGCTCTGTGTAAACTGGAAAGCTTATCTCTCTTACCAACAGAAGTTGGTCCCAGAAAAAATATTACCTTGCCCATCTTGTCTCTCTCATATCCTGGGACTGACACTTCTACAACACATCATCCTTAGTTTTAGCATCTGTTTTGTGAAAAGTCCCATTTAAATTAGCAATTTAAAAAGTATTCAGTGGTTTACATACTGCAGAGACTAAGTCTGTGACCCCTGAAAAATATCAAAAAGCCAGATACATGAGACCACCTTGAGGAAGCTGACAGTCTTATCCAGGTGACAGTCTAGGGATGTCACCAGTTTATGGGAAAACTTGACACACACATTCTATAAAAACAGCTGATTGCTAGGGCTCTTTTTCAACAATTAGTTCAACATTCATTCATCAATCAGCGAGACGATAATTAATCTTGAACAACTTATGACCAGTATCATTCTTGCAAATCAGACAGTACAATAATCTTTCTCTTTTGGAACTGGGTTATAAATCAAACAGCTTCTCTTCTCTAATCTTCATCTTGCTAGATTTGAGAAAAAAATTTCTTTATCAAAATAAAACTCATTTAAGAAATAAAAATGTTTAAAGTTTTCTGTGTTGCCATATAAGCTATTTCTCTAACACCTTTATTGAAGCATGGGGGAGAGATAGGGTCTTATACTGTAGGAGTCATGCTTGCTATGTGTGTACAGTAACTCCTCACTTAAAGTTGTCCCGGTTAATGTTGTTTCATTGTTATGTTGCTGATCAATTAGGGAACATGCTCGTTTAAAGTTGTGCAATACTCCCTTATAACATTGTTTGGCAGCCACCTGTTTTGTCCACTGCTTGCAGGAAGAGCAGCCTGTTGGAGCTAGCTGGTGAGGGCTTGGAACCAGGGTGAACCAGCAGCCCCCCTTTCAGCTCCCAGTTCCCCTAAGTTCCCAGTGCAGCAGCCGCCCAGCAGGCTACCAGTGCCGGCAGTTCAGCTGTCCCTCCCCCCCACTGCCATGTGCTGCTCCTGCCCTCTGCCTCGGGGCTGCTCCCGGGAGCCTCTTGCTTGCTGGGTGGGGGTGGGGGGAGGGCTAATGTCAGGGTATCCCCCTCCCCCTTACCCCTTCTCCATATAGAGCAGGGTGGGGACAGGACAGGGCTCAGGATGAAGAGAGCTTGCTGGCCGCAGCTGCTGTCTCAACTTCCTGATCTTTTTAAAGGCAATGTACTTAAAGTGATGTCAGCGTACTTAAAGGGGCAATGCACATCTCTCTCTCTCCCACACACAGGGTGTGTGTCTGTCTCTGTCTGCCGTGCTGTCTCCCCTCCCTCCATTCATGCTGCCTTGTAGAGTGTGAGGCTACATTAACAACAATGTGTTAACCCTTGAGGGCTCAGCCCAACGCTAGTTCATCATTTAGCAGTAAGGCATTCCCTGGGGAATATCCCACCCTCTAATTTCACCACCTCAACCAAGCTTCACAATCATCATTGCTGTGTACCAGTATTAAATTGTTTGTTTAAAACTTATACTGTGTGTGTGTGTGTGTGTGTGTGTGTGTGTGTACACACGTATGTTTTTTGTCTGGTGGGAAAAAAAAAATTCCCTGGAACCTAACTTCCCCCTCCCCCCCATTTACATGAATTCTTATGGGGAAATTGGATTTGCTTAACATCATTTCGCTTAGTCGCATTTTTCAGGAACATAACGTTGTAGTTAAGTGAGGAGTTACTGTATATAAATGGATAGTTCAGAGGCATTCGCTAGCCAGTGAGAATGAAGTGTTCAGTTAGTAATAAACCTGAAGATGTTGCCTATTAACTTGGTAATAACCGTGGGCCAGAGCTCATACTTCGGTGACAGAAACCCATGGGTGGGGTACCAAAGGGAAGACAAAAATCTTTTGTTGAGAGAGGGGTCAGGGTTTCCACCCTACAAAATAAGCTGCAGTAGCTGCTTGTAGGCTCACCTAATAAAGCAACGCCCAGAGCCTCGGACTCTGTGGATCTGAGTTTGCATGAGGTGAGGGTTGGTTTGAGGAATTTAAGGGTTAGTTTTTGAAAAGCTTCATGTAGATCAGGGCTGCAACACTGTCATGTGAGAGAGGACATCGTTCCTGAAGTGCACATGTATATACCCAACCTGCTTTCTGTCAGCTGAACTGGTCAATGGCCTGTCAGCTGGCCATTTTGCTGACATTTACAAAAAAGCTAGAGGAAAACCTGGTGTTCTTGTAATACAGAACAAGAATGTTGGGAAAGATCCTGAAAGTGACATATGGTTACATTGTTGATAAACTGAAATTGTGTAGTTCATTCATATTAATGTGCAGTAAGGTGTGAGCATGGCAGATAAGAGTTAGTTAATGGTTTTTTTTGGTGGAAGAGAATGAATAGGCATTAATGTTTTGTGGACCTTGCAGACCCTGATAGTGTCACTGCTAACTTTGCAAAAGGAATTCCCCTGAGCATGATCTCTGGTACCCTGGTGTAAAAAGAGATGGTCTCCAGCTGACTTAAAGTTTAATTTTTGTTCTTCTCAACAAAACTTTCAGATATGACCTGGCAAACTATTTGGGTGTCCCCAAAAAACAAAAGACATGAGGGAGGGGGAAACTATTAAACTTTTCATGCCTCACAGTCCTTGGCAAAAACATTTTAAAAATCTAAATAGAATCTATCCTGCTACTATTTAAAATTAGATTGATCCCTGCCCAAGAGGTTATAATCACTGGATTTGTTCTGTAAAGTGCCTAGCAAAATTCTGAATTAATACTGAATTCAGTGCTAGCATGCAGTGTTACCTCTCATGTAGCAGTGCCCTGGTCAGCCATATTGTTAGGCAAGATAATCAGACTGACATTGTGTGTCTGAGTTATAGGCAGCAGCAGGAAAATTGGATTTTATCTTCCCCATTTCTCTGGCATTGTTTCTAGAAACTTCTATTTGAAATGGATAGGGAAGAAATAAAGAAACCTGCCTATGTGAACACCTTCTCAACATCTGGCATTGGGATTCTCTTTTAAGGCCTGGCAAATATTTTTGACTCAATTCAGCAATAATTATTTTTTGCATAGGTATAGTTTATTCAAGTCTAAATTGCAAATTTTATTACAACATGCTTGATCACTAAACCATACACGGTACAATCTTGATAGTCTAAATTTGCTGTTCTTTATTACAGTAACAGAGTTTTAGATCATACCATCATCTTCTAATTATAATGAAAAGTCATTAAAGTTCCGATAATGTGTGCCCAAGTGATCTGGATAATCAAGGGTACTGTAAGGCTATGATGTTGTTTCAATGACATAGGTGTGGCCGCTTCCACTATACACTCAGCAGTGAGAGTGAAACTTGGAGACCAGCTGCATCGTTGCTGAACAGCAGCACTACATTGAATAGTGTCACTGGAGAGGCTGTGGCCTTCCAGTCCCTAGAGCTCATGAGTGGAGTTGGGCAGGAAATGCTTCCTGTTCTGTGAAAGTTTTCACAACTTCGGAATTTTTTCCTTTTGCACATAAAGACAAAGTAGGGACCTTCCAATTTTTTTTGCAAAAAATGAGTGAGATCGATCTAGAGAGACCTACTTCAGAATAGCCAGGAGCCTGGTGGTTAGGGCACTCATGGGAGACCTGGGTTCAAGTTCCTGCTCTGTCTGATTTTGAAGTGACGTGGGATGGAAAAACTACGCTGAGCCAGCCAGAGCAAGGACTTCCACCTAGGTCTCCCACATCCCAAATGAGTGCCCTAACCACAAGGCCATTGGTTATTCTGAGGAAGGTTGGTCTATCTGTCGCTTTTCCTGCCCCTTACCTCCCAACCCTGAGCTATTGGCTGAGGTGGGTTTCTCTGGTTTTCACTCTAACTCCTTCCTGCCAAAAACTTGCATTTTCTAACCAGGGTGGTGGTGGTTTAAAAAATACCCAACTTCATAAGACCTGGTTTAGTCTTGCATGATCCAAGCTTCGGAGAGCTCCATGCTGTATTGCAGATAAAGAATATGCACAATCAGAAACCCATCACTGTTGTTAAGCCCTGGAACTCTTTAAGATAAGAGGGGTCACTAAGGAGAAGAAGATGGCAGGGCCCATTGTTATGTTCTTGGAATTAATTCTTTCCTCTGCTGAAATCCTCCTTCCATTGACAGATATTCAGCCTCACTCTCCGACCTACCAACTTTCACGCTCCATGACACTGTTTGAGGCACCACATTTTTTACCTGCTATTTAATCTAATTCTTTTAATGTAGTACTATCATTATATACCGTTAGCAGTGGTGGTAGGCTTCCATTACAGTGAATTGAACAAGATGTTGTCTCTTTAGTTGTTATACATGCCATATGTACAATTATTACTCTTCCATTACACTTTAATTGACCAGAGAGAGAGAGACACACACTTGTTTGCAGTTAGTAAGAGGATTTGATTTTTTTCTTTTTTCTTTTCACAAACATTTGCGTGTAGACGGGGTATTTTTCCGCCCCAAGCACGGCAGTCAGGCAGCCTTCGGCGGCGCACCTGCAGGAGGTCTGCTGGTAACGCAGATTTGGCGGCATGCCTGCGGGAGGTCCGCCAGTCCTGCGCCTTCGGCGTACCCGCCGCCAAATTGCCGCCGAAACCATGGGACCGGCGGACCTCCCGCAGGCATGCCGCCGAAGGCAGCCTGACTGCCGCACTCACAGCAACCGACAGGCCACCCCCTGCGGCTTGCCGCCCCAGGCACGCGCTTGATGCGCTGGTGCCTGGAGCCGCCCCTGCATGTAGAAGGAGGTGGCCTAACCAAAGGCATATGACAAGATAGATGAGAATTATTCTGAAATCAGTACAGATGAGCTTCCCCCGCCCCATTTGCATAACACAGTACAGCCATAAAATGAACAGGTTACTCCATAATAAAAGAAGAATAATGAAAAAATCATTGGATTTTTTGAGAATAAGGTATAGTAACAGCAGGAAAACACAAACAAAACTGCACTGTGAACTGTTTGTGTGCAATTTTCTCTGACCTCTACTCTATGCCAATGGTCTCCATTAGCACAGTAGCAATATTGGTATGTTGCCCGTCTGATGTTTTTGTTTCTTTCCTTGTCTTGTGAATAGGATTCTACAGTTATTTGTCACTTGTTCACACAGAGATGTTGCAAGGGCTAGATAGTATTGCTTTTGAGGCAAGGCCAAATGGTGCTTTTGTAAAAGTTTGCTTAAGAATCTACTAGACATTTTGAGTTCTATTATTGTGTAAAATATGATCACAAATTCCCCGAACAAATGAAATCAAAACTATAGTAACTGTAATTTGCTTCAAGCATTGACACTCAGGTGTTCACTTTTTCAAAGACAAAATCCATATAGTTAGGAGAGGATCATTAAATTATTCTTGCATCTTTATTATTAGTGCATTTGTATAACTGTTTAATTATTGTCAAGTATCAGGGGGTAGCCGTGTTAGTCTGGATCTGTAAAAAGCAACAGAGTCCTGTGGCACCTTTAAGACTAACGGATGTATTGGAGCATAAGCTTTTGTGGGTGAATACCCACTTCGTCAGACGCATGTCATGTGTCTGACGAAGTGGGTATTCACCCATGAAAGCTTATGCTCCAATACATCCGTTAGTCTTAAAGGTGCCACAGGACTCTGTTTAATTATTGGTATTAATTGGCTAGCACCAAAGCATGCTAAGTGTTGTACAAACATACAAGAAAACACTATCCTTGTCTCAGAAACATTTACAATTGGTCTATAAGTTATCATAAAAGTGTGAGGAGGTTTTTGTGAGGCTCCACACTGGACCAGAGTGATTTGCAGGGAAGCTAATAGCCTCTGAGGAAAATTTTGGCTAGAGAAGAATAGAAATATAATGAAGGTGAGTCTGTCTAAAGGGCTAATCCCTTGGATAGAGCTGACCAAACTCATTATAATTTTTCATTAGTTTTTCATCTACAATTCTCCAGTCCTCCCAGAGAACTGCTCAGCTGCTCATCCTAAAATTCTTCCATAACACTTTAATGTAAAGACTTTTTTTTTTCTATTTTCCCCTGAATCTTCATTTGATAGGAGTATCAGAGGGCAAAACAAGAAGTTCTGTCCCTTCGAAGAGAAAATTCAACTCTTGACACAGAGTGCCATGAAAAGGAGAAACTCCTAAACCAGCTAAGAACACGCATTGCAGTCCTAGAACAAGAAGTGAAGGATAAAGAGCAAGTAGTAATAAGAAGCACAGATGTCTGTGAAAGTGCACAAGAACACAAGGTTGGCAATAGCAACTCCTGGCTTGAAAGATGTTCCCTAGAAGTGTAAAACACGCACATCTTGAAGATTTCTTTAAATATTCCTCTAGAAAGTAAACCAGTTTTGAAATGACATGGTGTTAATGTGAGGATTATGGCTTAAAACAAAAAAGTCTTATTTTGTCAGGGTGTGTATGTTGGCATGGCTACACTATAAACTTAAACTGACCTACGTTAGGTCAATTTACAGCAACCGCAGTGATTACTGAGGTGGTTCATGTCCACACTGCCTTTCTTCTGTCAGTGGTGCACATCCTCACTAGGAGCACTATCATCGCAATGTGGGGGGCTGAGAGTCAGGGCTCTCTGCTCTGTGTGCAGATCCCCGCCGGTAGCCTGGCTCCCTGCTCCCCTCTCTGCTTGGCTACCGCTCCCCACTGGGCTTCTCGGCTTACCGTTGGGAGTGGGGCAGCTGCACCAGGCTTCTCAGCTCTGTGCTCCCAGTGTGGGGAGCCAGGGGCACGGGGGGCATCCAGGCTCTCACCAACCCGGACTCTGAGCACGGAGCTCCCCACCAGGTGCAGCTGTGCTCCCAGTGGGGGGCCGGGATGCTTGGAGTGGCTGCCCCATTCCTGGGGGGGAGGGGAGAGGGAAGCCATGAAATTTACAAGAATGATAGCTAATAGATGTAAGTAACGCACTTCATCGCCCTAACTACACCAACATAAGCCCTTTGTCTCTCGTGGAGGTGGAATTATGTTGGTGTAGTAGGGCACTTACAGCAGTGGGAGCAAGGCTGTAGTGTTACGCTCACATAAATAGGCCAATGTAAGCTGCCTTATGTTGACCTAATGCTCTAGTGTAGACCCGGCCTATGTGTATATATACATAGATATAATTCTTTTCTTCCCCCTTGGATCCCACCAATTTTTTTTTAAACAGTTTCCTTTAAATTTGAAACAGTCCAATGTGGCTACAGTCAAATTGGTTTGTTTAATTTTACTTTTTAAAACAAACAATACATTAATGAATTCAGTGCTCATGAAAGAATTGATAGCCTTGGAAACTGAAGTCCTATTTACAGACCAGGCAGCAGCAGTGTACATTTCCCCATGCTGCCCTGCTTGTGTACATTAACCTTGAGATGGAAGATCTACTCTAAAGTGACCCTTCCTCACCAGGTCTTCCTTGCAAGTGCAACCTCTGGTCTCTTTCTACATCTGCCAGCAAAGATGACAGTTGAGATGGTACTTTCTGAGAGGGACAGTTCTCCACTAGGCCTATCAGGACAGCCTCCCTCTCGCGACCCCCCCCCCCCCCCCCCCCTTTTTTTTTAAACACACACACTTTAACCAGCAGAGGCACCGACTTTCTAATTTGCCGGGTGGTGCTTGACCCCCCGCTCCACTCCTCTTCCTCCAAGGCCCCAACCCCACACCACTTCCTGCCCCTGCCCCCAAGTGCGCCCCACCCTCGCTCCACCTCTTCCTGCCCCTGCTCCTCTCCTTCTCCCCGCACCTTCTGCTCGCTGCTGAACAGCTGATCCTCGGTGGATGGGAGGCACTGGGAGGGAGGGGGAGGCGCTGGAAGGGAGATGGAGGAGCTGATTGGCAGGGCCCACCGATGGGTGCTGAGCACCCACATTTCCCCCCCCCCCCCACCCCGTTGGTGCTCCAGCCCCGTACCACCCACGGAGTGGCACCTATGTTAACCAGATCTCCTTCACAGGCTGTCAAGGGTTGCTACTGAAAAGGACTAATTTCAGTTGGTGACCTAGAAATAAAATGCATACTCTCTCCCATTACTAATCCCTGGAGTCTTGCAGTCACCAGCACCACTAAATTTCAGCATTTGGTTATGTTGACATTGTCCTGTCATGAATATAAAACTATCTTTCAGAAAAAGTTGGAAGAATCTCTGGAGATGAAACAGCTTCAAATTGGAAAATTTGAAACCGCTGTGAAGTCTATTTCTGAGGAACTTCTGAAAGTAAGACACTTATGAGCATTTATTAAATTTAATCGATGGGGCAGGTTTGTTCACTTGGGTTTATTTATTTATTTTTTGGGGTGTGGGTAGGCTAATGAAATTATCAAAAAGCTCCAGGGAGAGATGAAGAAACTAATGGAGAAGATGAAGTTAAAAAATGCAGTGACACTGCAACAAGAAAAAATATTAGGAGAAAAAGAGCAAACCCTTCAAAAGGAGAGATTGGAGCTTAATAATGTGAAACAGGCCCTTCAACAAAAAGAGGAAGAGGTAAGTGCCTGTATGTATATATGTTGCATGGAAAAGTACAGAGCAATGCAAATATTTAATGTTTACGTACAGTATGCAAGCTTTACTACAATCTCCTGGAAGGCAGGTTGATAACCTGACTCTCCCCAACCCTTGTAATTGTCAGTGTGTGTTATTAGAATCATAATGATTGTTATGGAGGAAAATGTAGGAATAGAAAGGTTGGTATTGGTGTCGCTAAATGAGGAAGAATTGTACCAGTTTTAACTTTTTGTTTGTTTCTTTTGAAGACTAGATTGCTCAGATTAATGAATTATAGTAAATAATTTCATTACTGTTCCCAGGTCTTTAAGTTGCAAGAGCAGCTGGACATCACTGTTCAGAAATTGGAAGAAAGCAAACAGCTGCTGAAAACTAATGAGAATGGTAAGGAGAGTAAAGGCACCCTTTAGAATGATGATGTAAACTATCTAACTAAAACCTGTGCCTTATTAAAAACATTTTATATTCCATGGGCATTTTAGTTTTGCTACTTCTCCACTCTGTTATGAGTTGAAACCAATTTCAAGGGCAAAGTTTGATCTTTGAACTGGAAAACGTGGGTATTGAATTTCTGTGTGTGCATATCAAGGCATGAGGCAAGTTCTGATTTGTTAAAATACTATAAAAATGGATTAACCGCACTGAAGTCAGTAGAGTAACTGAGATCAGAATCTGGTACAAAACTTTTACTGTAAGACTGGTACAGTATATAGCTGTGTGGGAGAGGAAACAAGGAGTATTACAATTAATAAAACTTATATTTGCAAAGTCACATTAATGATGGTTGAATAACAACTCTGCCACTCCAACCCCGTCCAAGACCTAGGTATCAGGAAACAAAGAACATTGACTTCAATGGGAGTTGAAGGTGCTTACCACCTCACACTCCGTGCTTAGCACTGCAGGATGGGGTTCAATTGCATCCCCATTATATGTGGTGATAATCCCTAGAATTTCATTTAATTGACTTCTTTCAATCAACCTGAATTCAGCACTTAATATTGTAAATAACTTGTGTGCATGTTTAATATACAATATGATGGATGTTGTGACCAATGCATTTTGATTATTGTTGGCTTTCTGAAAATACATATGCTGTGTAATTCCATTTACAGTATATTGAAATTTAGGTCAGTTGGCCTTGCTTGCATGTGTCCTCAAAGTTAAGGCATTAATTCGTTGTCCTATCTTTAGTCCTCAGTTACAAAAATACAGGCAAGTATATTAGAGTATGAGACAAATCAGAAATCTGTTACATTTTATGTAGAGCTGAATGTTCATTTCATGCATTTTTATTCTCCTTGTAGTAATTTCCTGGCTAAATAAACAACTGAATGAGAATAAAATTGCATCTATGCATGGGGCATCAGGTCACAGTGATATGCCATGTGCTGGAAGTGCCACCAATTCAGCAGCCTTGCAGAATGGCCTGGTAAGTATTTGCGCTGTACTACACTGAATTATGGTTGGGAACTCTTTTTGATTATTTATATGCACAAAACTACAATAAGTCTCCGATCTGAATGAAAACTGAACAAAGCCACACAGTTCTAAACATGCCCATCTCTCGCTCCTGGGGCAAGATTCTTGGCCTTGCCTGTAGCTGTTTGTTTTGCATTTTCTCAGCAGCACAAAGCCACTGTAAACTGCTCTGAGGGCAGCTGAGGATTTCTTCTGAGTCACAAAGAGGATTTGTTGGGGGTTGAGTGGAGTATACAGTGCTCCTCTTGATTTCCAGTGCTAGCCATTTAAAGCAGCTTTTAAACAGCCCCCAGCATAGGTTAGGGCAGTTTCTTGGCCTCTCTCTTCTTCCTCCTCCTCCTCCTCTGCCCCCTATTAACTTTATGCCCACTCTGCTCCCTATCTTTCCACACACCTACCTTTGTCAGCTGTGCTGAGTATCTATCCCTTGAGGTTCAGGTGAGCATGGGTGATTGAGATCTGACTAGGAAGGAAAAACATAATGTGCAGTGGTTGCATGTGAAATGTCTTCCATTTTAAAGGATTCTGGTAGAGTGAGGGCGAGTTCCTACACTTAACCCGAGGGATATGGCTGTACTGGTTACCCCCTCTCAAAGTGGCCAAAACTATACAATGGATACACTTTTATATAGTTTCAATGGACACAGGAGGAAATAATAAATTGGCTGGCCTCCTCTTCATTCAGCAGATGTACTGCCATATTAGAAACAGACATTATCCTGTCTGTGAGACTGCTGAACCCAGGACAGAGTTTTCCAGAAAGGTGTCCATTACTGGTATACATCTGGACAATGGAAATTGTCAGCAGTGCAGAAAATTTAGTGTTATCTTCATGCAGTTTCTTCCTGATGTTTTATCACTTCAGAATCAGCAGGAAAAGATATGTAGCCTCTATCCAGTACATGTTGGCTCATAATGTAAACAAGAAAGGATTAAGAATTGTAAGTAAAATAGTCAATGGAGAAACATTAAATGAAGTCTGAGGTTGTGTAGTGCTTTCCAAATTATACAAACACAGTAGGGGATTTATATATATATCCAAATGATACTTGTCTGAAGAAAAGAGCTGTTTAGGAATTCTGAGGTGTATAACAGATGGCATTAAACTGAAGCTGTGGATGATATTCAAAGCAGAAGAAAAAAATCTTAAGATGATATTGACAGGTGGTACAGAGGTGAAAATGCATCCCAGTGGCTCAGTGACAAATGCAGCAGTGAAGAAATAGACTGATGTACTATGGAAAATTAGACCAGGAGGACATGTTAACAAGCATTTCACTTCTTTCAGGACCATCTGGAACTTGGCTTCTAACAAATGTAAAAAAGGAAAATCAATATGATTGTTAATTCTAAGGGCTGGTTACCCTCACTCAGTCTCTGCATCCAGCTGACAATCATTGAGTGAGTAGTACACAGCTGAAATAGAGGCACTGTGCTTTGTTAGATGGCTGACATAAGTTTGGCTCCAACTTTTAAAATGCCTCAGAAATAATGTGTAAATTTAAAAACTGTTGCCTTCAGAGTTCAGCTTGAACACAATTTGTGAAGAATAATTTTTTTCTTTTAAATGGCAAAGGTAATATTGTGGCTATTATAAATGCAATACAGTAGAGCCAGATTGTAGAAAGAGATTGTTTTGTCCAGCCATGGTCCAGCTATGTGTAACCACTTTTTACTAAGAGCTAACTATTTTAATTTCCATCTCCGTTTCTCGAAAACACTCAAGCCAGTCTGAAACTTCTCCTGCATATCTTTGGCCCACCACTCACTAATGTCAGACTGTTCAGAAGAGTTACTTCACCTTACAATTCTAGTAAATGGACAGGTTGGTTGGTTGGGATTTTTTGTGTCAGTTTAAAAAAAAAAAAAAAATCTGTGGATGGGGAGACTTCCTCAAATATCACTTTAATTTATAACAAAACCCTTAAGGAGCTGCCCCAATGATCATCTGTTTGGAAAGTGTTGCCCTCATTTTCCTCAGTCCTGTTTGGCTTTTTAATTTGTTGATTTGTTCTGAGGAAGTGGGGATTTAAAATCTGCCTGATCCCTCCATTTCCAGAGTAGTGAGAGACAGATACTTTGGCTCTGCTGTCGTTTTAAAATTCTTCTCCATTCCTAACTTGCTGACAGTCAGATGGGAGGTGAAGGACCCAACTCTAGGGATTTTCTGAATTTACTGAGTCCCTAGATTGCCATATACAGAGATCCATACTTAATTTGGTATTCTACAGCCATCAGAATGGGATTATGTTATCCCTTTAGGAATAGTGAACTGACTCCACTGCTGCGGAACCCAAGAAGATGGCTGGGGTTTTCATTGGACAGGAGCCAAGCGAGCTAATTTTTTGTCAAAGAACAACCTAAGGAGTAGTTGTCATAATGGGTTCTTTTTACTAAGGATTTCAATATTACAATCACCCTGGATCTGAATTGAAGAAACCAAATTGCAATTTATGAATCTGTATATCTGTATATCTAGCTAGCTCACTACTGTCAAAATATTTGCAGGAAAATCGTTTGGGTAAAACTCTTCAAGCTGTTCTCTTGATGACAGATACAGCTGTATGGCTCAATTATCTTTTATCCACTTAACATTTTTTGGTTGACAAGAATTTACTTTCTTGAAAATTAGGCTACATGGTGCTAGATGGGTTAAGACGCTTTGCAGGATGTGTGTGCACTAAGATGCCTCTGAAAATAAGTGAAATATTTTCTTAATAGGCAGTTATATATAAAAATAAAGAACCTAGCGATGAGTAAAATTCCAAAAGAGTTCCATGATGATGTTGGGAGTCCCTAGATGATGCTATTATAGTTAGTCTAACAAGTCATGTTTGACTGTGTAGGACTTTTTGGGAGGGGGATGGGGGCAAATCACACTGTTCAGTGTGTGGTGTTTTAGTTTGTTATAAAAACCAGATTTGCTTTGCTTCCTAAATCTTGTCCAGAAATAATATGTTAGTCTGTAGGTATCAGCTCTTTCCTATGTCATGAAAGCAAACCAGTCCATTTAAACAAGGTAAAATTTTCAAGAGCTCTTAAGGAACTTAAGAGCAAAACCCCACTTTTGAAAATGGAACTTTGGCTCCTAACACAGTTTAGGCTCTTTTTTTCAAAATTTTACCCAAGTTGTCTAACTTCATAGTTTCAGAAAACCTGTAAGAACAATACATCCTTAAAAAAACAAAAACAAAAAAACAGGTGGGGTAAGGCTGTCTAGAATAATTGGGAAAAGCATGAATATTCTTAGGGAGAGGAAGAAATTTAGTCAGTGGAGCGTCTTCTCAAGGTTCTCCTAAAATTCAAAGCTGAGGAGCAAAAATGCTAGTGTATATACTTCTTTGGAGAAGAAGAGGAGGTAGAGACATTTCTAATATTTGGATGGATAGATCTGCTGAAGAGAAAAGCAAGCTAAGGGCATATAACAATAGGTTTTGAAACTCTGCAAAAGCTAACCCATTGTTAGTACTCCCCACGTTTAAAACTAAACACAGGTTCCAGCTGAATCCGTATAGTAATCTGAGAAAAAGATAAAGTTCCTGGCCAAGGGCAGAGAAATTACTGACATGAGCAAAGTGATTTGGGATAGGATAATGTTTGTGACTGATTCACTAAAAGTTGTGAAAAGCTGATAAATCAGGAAGCTGAATAAAGACTAGACAGTATAGAACACAAGAAAAGGCTGAAGACCAGTTAAAATTTATTGTTAACATTTTCAAACTTGGATCCCTAAATTCACATATGTACATTTGTCAGTGGCTTGACTTTTCAGAGTTGCTGAGCATCCAGAACTCTCAGTTGAAGTCTACTGGAAACTCCCACTGTTCAGCACCTCTAAAAATCAAGCTATTTAGGTGTCCTGTATATAGATTTGTGTGCCTCACACAAACTTGAAGATTTTGGCCCATATATAAAAGGAGACCGTATATGCAGTAATAATGCCTCACCATGTAATACCTGTAAAGCATCTGTGAACAATTAAAGCTCTTACCATTCACACCTTTCATCCAGAAATTGTTTCATATTTGAGATAAGCCAGTAGACGTTTCTTTTTTGTAGCATAACATACAAGTACAAGGAAAATTCAAATATCTAAAACATGAACACAGATTTACTATCAGTGCTTGGTCTCAGAACATGCCTGATCTTAAATTGATCAGATTCTTTTTCATTTAAAAAAAAAAAAAAAAAAGGCAGACAAAACACTTCCCAGTTCCAGTGGCATTTACCACCTGCTAAGCTACAAGATGTAATGACAGACTACGAAGATATATATTTAATGGAAGTTTCCTGAGAGGGTACGAATCTTGAAGTGCATCCTCCTATAAATCCCATGTTACATACTACTCAAAAATCCCAGTTGCGCTGCAAGACTGATTGGATAAAGAGCTTTGGAGATTTGACAAATTGCCTCTAATTTTTTTCAGAGGTAGATGATAATTTGTAGTGGGTAAACACCATGGAGATGGTGGGGAAAAACCACTTGCAGTAGAACTGAAACTGTGCTGTGTTAATGCCATGTTGATTCAGGCAGTAGGGTTAGAAGATTACATGATGCCTGTGCATTTGATGATATGATATGAGAAAAATCGAGAGCTGGCGTGCCTGTGTTTTTTAAATGTTTTGGATGGATAATCTGAATACTAGTAAATAAGACTGGACAGAGGAAGTTCATTGATAACCATGTTTAATAATCCACAATAGCGATGTAGAATCACCTGCTTACCCTATTCATTCATCCCAAGTAGTGTTTTGAAAAAAGTGGGGAAAACTATTGTCTGGCTACATGTGAATTATATATTGTAATTTTAAGCTATTGTGGAAAATATTAATTATGAAACAATCTATGAATCTCCTTCAGTCGCTCTAATGATGAATTAAAGTGTTTTTGTTTTGTTCTCTCAGCTGAGGGAATAGAGCCCAAACCTGCAAAAGTGGCAGCGTGAAAGGAGGACAGCAGAGAACAGTGTTGAGCTTTAAAATTCCATGCATAGCTAGGGTTATGCAATATAGTTAGGCAAAGAGGTAAGCTTGGCACTACTGAAGCAAAGCTTCCAAAATCCTATGTGGTATTGATGATGGAATGTTCTCATACTAAAAATCAGGAAGTTGATTTTGAATCCATTTGGTCCTGATTAAGACTCAATGTGTTTGTCCCCTCTCCCCCCCAACTAAAAGATGCTTTTCTTTATTGGGAGGGTGATGCAAAACCTTTCACTAAACAAAGTTTTGATGGCTGAGTCCAGTTAACATTGTTGCTTAAATTACTGACACCTTCTGTCCCCCGCTCCCCAGTTGGTACCCAATGAATTCTGTGTTCTCCATCCCAACTGAGCTTCTTTCTGCTCATTCCCCAATCAGCCAAAGTACTGCATCATTGGGTCTGTCTGCTGTTTGTGTCCCGTTGCTGTCTTGGGTTGGAGGTGATACATTGCCTTCCTTATAAATTATGTAAGCCCAAAGGTGTAAAGTCTGAACAGAGCAGCTTCTCTTAGGTCTGAAAAGTTGTACTAACGAAACTAAATCAATTTCAAAAGCTTTTTAATTCTGATATAGACTAAGTCCTTACTTTTGGGAAACAAGATAAATGTAGGATGGGAATCTCTTAAAACAAAGTCATGGCAAGGGATGTGCCAGATTTCTGTAGACTGACACAAGCTCCTTAACTAACCAACGTTTTTAAAAAGAACAGGAGTACTTGTGGCACCTTAGAGACTAACAAATTTATTAGAGCATAAGCTTTCGTGGGCTACAATCCACTTCTTCGGATGCATCTGGAAGATCACCAATGGATTGTAGTTTCCTCAGGAAGTCAGTGGTGTCTCGAAGATAGCTAGGAGTGCTGGTAGCATAGGGTCTAGGAGAGAGTCCACATAACCAGACAAGCCTGATGTTAGGGTGCCAATGCCTGAGATGATGGGGCGTCCAGGATTTCCAGGTTTATGGATCTTGGGTAGCAAATAGAATACCCCTGGTTGGGGTTCTAGGCATGTGTCTGTACAGATTTGTTCCTGTGCTTTGTCAGGGAGTTTTTTTAGCATATGGTGTAGTTTCTTTAGGTAATCCTCAGTGGGATCAGAGGATAATGGCCTGTAGAATGTGGTGTTAGAGAGCTGTCTAGAAGCCTCTTGTTCATATTCCAATTTATTCATGATGACGACAGCACCTCCTTTGTCAGCCTTTTTGATTATGATGTTGCATCCGAAGAAGTGGGCTGTAGCCCACGAAAGCTTATGCTCTAATAAATTTGTTAGTCTCTAAGGTGCCACAAATACTCCTGTTCTTTTTACGGATACAGACTAACACGGCTGCTACTCTGAAACCAACATTTTTAACTGAAAGCTTTCTCTTTTGTGGATGGTAATCTGAACACCTTTATCTTCTGTAAGACGTGAAAGTATGACATAATGAGCACTTGGAAAAAAGTCTTGTTATGGTGAAAGGCTGGGACTAAACTTACAAACAACAAGATTGTCTTTATTAAAAAAAGAGCGGTCACTGACATGTCCTTTATCTGGCTCAAAAATACCCTGTCCTCGAACTACTTTCAAACTCAGTTGACCTCTGGTAACACATCAGAAGAGGTCTATGGCTGACAGTGCTATTGATAGCCCCATGCTTTCATTTTACTATGAAGGGGACTCTTTTTTTTCTAAAACTTTTGGTTCCCTCCATTGGGAAAAAGATGCACAGTGGAAGGGGCTTTTCCACCTTGAAAACATTAATAAAGGGTGGGCACCTTTTTTTTTTTTGAGATAAGGGGAAAAGAGGGGCATTTGTCACAAATCTATTTGCTTAGTGTTTCTTTTTCTATTTAGCTTTCGCTTAGCAACAAAGCTTGTACTATGGACCTATAATGTTATGTTTCTTGCTTAGCACATACTTAGACATTAAAAAAAGTATGTGGATGAAGGGTTTGGGTTTTTTTGTTTTTGTTTGGATAAAACTGACCTTTCTGCCTTATTATACTTGAGACTTTTGTAGGAGTTCTATCACAAAAATATCAAGACAACTTAAGCGTATTTGGGAGGTGTAGAGAGGTTAGCCAGGGCTCATCCATCTCCGGGTGGCAGGGAACCACACCGCCTCCCTTAGTCCTTGCATGGCCTCTTGAGGAATCAGTCAGGCTGCAGGGGTCCTGGCTCAAACAGTCCGGCAGGGGGCTGATCACACACAGGTAACAATTAACAGCTAATAAGCCCAGGCCCTGGGTCAGGGCAGGGCAGTAAAGACTCCAAGGCTCAGGCCCTCAGGCAGGGGCTGAGCAAACACCGGTAAATAGCACACCCAGGCTTCAGGCTCCGAGCAGCCTGGGAGAGGGGGAGACTGCCACCCACGCGTTGGGTGGGAGGGGGGGTGGGACGCTGGCCCTCCCACTCCACTACGTCCCAGCCCGGGGCCCTAGCAGCGGCCAAAGGGCCGCTGCTGTCAGTGGGGATCCTGGCCGCAACACACTGACATGAGTTCCAGCTGTGTTGTAGCCAGACCCGGGTCGGCTGCCCCCAGGCTACTTCCCAACTTCCCCTCTGGAGGTACCTGGGTCAAGGTGGTATCTTCGGGGGGGGGGAGGGGGTGTCAATCACCATTGGATCCTCGGGGTAGCTGTCGAGGGGTAGGCTCAGTGACTCTCCCACATGCTGGTTCGCATCGAGTGTCAGCAAGTCGGGCCAGTCTCCAGGTCCGTTGCTGGAGTCTCCCTGGCGGGAGCTGGGCCAAAGGCATCTGGCCTCTCCAGTGGCTGCCTCTCGTGAGCTCTTGGGTTGAGCTCTTGTACTTCCTGTTCAGCCTCTGACCCTATGTGGGACAGCCTTGGAGTGCCTGGCTTCGCCCACTCTGGTGTCCAGCGGAGCTCATCCTGCACCGGGGAACCACACCGCCTCCCTACAGGAGGCTTGTTTGCTTTTGTCATATTTTACTTTAAACAGCCTTTTCTTCCACTTATTTTTGTTTGTTTCCCTTACAGCCTCGGTTTCTACTTTATAACAGTCCTTTCTCTGTCCCTGTGATGCCTCCACCAATTAGCACTGCTTCCCTTTCTAATAACTATAAAGGCTCTGTTCCTCTGCGAATGAATATCCCATGTGTGGTCACCAGTGCTGCAAGATGTAATCCACAGGCAGGCATATATACTTTTTTATTTTTCACCTCCTTTGCACTATAATGTATTCTGCTGAAGTGTCCTAGTTTTTAACAGCTTAATTCTCCATTGTGATTTGCCTCTGGATAATGCACACCAGAACACTAATGTTAACGTGGAATGTTTTGACACTAATAACTGCATTAGAGAACTGGAACTGTGCTTAATGTAAATGTTGAAAAATAGAACACTTCGAAATGGCCAATACTCTTATCTAAGTATTCCCCTCTGCCCAACAGTTTTGACTTATGTCATAAATACAACATGACAAATGTGTTAAGAAAACATTACTAACCATTTTTGACAGATTATGCACACAGACTACAAGAGAGGAATTGGGTAAATGGTTTTGGAGGAAAGAGGGAAGAAGCGTTTTTCTTAATCATTTTTGCTTATTTGTTCCTCCTGGAAAAATTAACTATGAGCCCAACTATATATCTGAAAAAGCATTATTTTTTTTCGTTTTTCTAAAACTGTACAATAAATGGCCTTTATCTTGTAACTTTCACTGCCTCCCTACGCTCTGCCCGCTAATCCATTTCTGCTAGGGACTACTACTTACATTCCAAATCTCTAGGCAGCTTTTAAGCAGTCTGGCCTTTTGTTAATTTAAAAAACAAAAAGGAATCGGGTACAAGAAATGTTCTCTCTATCCCCTCCCCAAGCAAAACTATCACTAGTCTGCGTCTCAACCCTGACTAAATCCATTCTTGTGCCTGATATCTCACAATTCATCAGAGCTAGAAATGTCTATAACCCACAAAAGAGCTGGGATCTCAGATCTTGTAATAGTATAAAGAATCTGTTCCTGGCTTCAGCCAGCTGCACTATATTGGGCCTTACAATTGCAACATTTGACATGTAGTAGTCTTTCTTTCGAAGTTGTAAAATGTATCGTTTTATCTACCTCCCATTTATAGAGTTAGACTCGAAGCCAAAATTCTTTTAGTACATAGTTGGAGGATATGAAAAACAGAAATTAAAATAATAAAAATTGGCTCTATAGGTGGAGAATATGAAAACAATAAATTTAGATTTAACTGTAAAAAATGTAGCATAAGAAAAATATGTAAATGTGTGTTTAATTTGAAGCTTCTATTGACAATTGTGAGGCAACATTCAAAAAATGGAATAATCTCAAACTTCCCCAGTAAAGCTTTATCCCCCCAACTTTTATTAAGTTAGTTTACCTTTAGATTAATTATTCACATAATGTATTTACTTTTAGATGTGTTAAAAATTAGCCCATTGCCTAAGCCTCTGGTTGCATTTACAGCAATAAATTCAATAATACAGATATTATACTGTTCCAAAGGGGGTACATCAGACATTCCCTCACAGATGCAGTTTCCTCTCAAGAACACAAACTAGGGGCCTTCTCCTGCTCCTCTTGAATTCAATGAGAGTTTTGTCATTGGCTTCAGTGGAAGCAGAATCTAGCTCCAGAAGCCAGTGGGCATGCCTTTTCACTGCGCTGCACCAGTTTGAGCCATGTATTTTCACTGAAGACAATGGAGTCGTGCAATCATAAAACTAGTGTAGTACAGCAGAGATCTAGGCCTGATGTCCCTGAGTAGTTACCCAAGTGATCTTTTAAAAAAGAAGGGACTTTAAAAATCACAAAATATGGTTTAAGGGTACAATGATGATTGTGCTCTATTTGGGAGAGGAAAAATGTGTGCTGTCTATGGTGATGGGAGCCTTATAAACACACAGAAGTCTTGTCCAATGCTTTTGTTTTTCATTCTCTCTAAATTGTATAGGTACGCATCAACTTATCAGCAAATTCCACCAGCACTCCGTTACATGAGACAAGACCTTGTCCACCAACCTCCACTCCTTTAGTGCCCCCAAACTCAGGCCATGTGTAAGTTGTGGTGTTTTGTTTTTGTTTTTTCCTTTTTGTATTTTTGCTGAGTGATCTAACAAACTACATCATTTTGTGGTAACTTCTAAAGACCGAGATTACACAAGTCCTATTTTCACTTTTAAGTGTGTGTGTGTGTGAAGCTTTTATGAAAAATCTCACATTTGGCCAATGTCAAATTGTTCCTGTGTTGTAAGTAACATCAGTCTGAGATTTCAGGCAATGCTATATGGGCTGCTGTTTGACTCTCTTTCCTTCAAGGAATCCATGGGACATCCATTTGTTTGCCAGGAGAATGTTCAAAAGTGCCAGGGAAGATCTGGAAAAGAATTAAACCCTGCAGAGAAGTCTATTTTCACTTTTTTGTTTGTTTTGTTTAACCCTCTCTTCAGGTCCAATAATCCTGGCAATGGATTTTCTCTCCCTAATATCTACTAGGAGGCCAAGCACACTGGTTCAATGACTGGCATTTAGGAACTCCCACTGAGAACCCCTGATGGAACTGTGTGCCTTTTCAAAATCAAAATGTTGCCAGCTAATTAGATTTTACTTGGGCGCGTTTCCAAATAACTTCTAATTCTCTTCAGTATGATCTGGTATGTGGGCAGCTGACCTGAGCTTGCTTGTTTGTCCTTGGAGTCAGGATCCCTGTTCACACACCACCACAACTTCATGAATAGAAATATAACTGTCAAGAGCAAGGAAAGTAAAGACAAGGTTAGAAAGTATTTTGTCTCTAGAAACACTTTTCAATAAAGTGAATTGCCTGGCTTGGAGGCAGATAGCACACTATTTCCAAAGTAAGGTGAAGCCTCCTTATAGTTCCCTGAAGGTAGAGTCCAGCACACCTTGTTGTTGCTCAAGCAACCCCCCAATAAGCAGCAGGAGGAGGATATAGGGGACTGTGCTGCTTGTCTGAGATGTGGGCTATGGAACGTAACCGTTCAGACATCTCTGCAGCCATCTTCAGTCAGTGACCACTGTTCCCACCTTCTCCTCTAATGGTGGGAAGAGCTTGGAGCCAAATAGAAGACTCTACCAACAAAGACCAAACAAAAATCCTTTCTGGAAAGAGAAGAGAAAATGGAAGCAAGAACCTAATGGCTGCGACATCAGCCAGAATATTTTAGCGTTGTATATTATTTATCGAACTCCAGTATTGTACTTTTTGCGAGGCAAGAATAGAGCTGATATTCATCTCCACAGTAAATGATTTTTTTTCATTGGCTTCAAAAGATTATAGCCATTATCTGACCTAAACCCAAGCTTCAAAGAGAGAGAGAGAGAGACTTTGAGGATGTGAGAAGAGCTGTTACAGTAATTTTTCCAAGTAATTTTTTTCTCTTTGTTCCTCTTATCCTGCAGTATAAAGGGGGGAAATATTTAAATCATCAGTTGCTTGCTCCATCAGAACTTGCATAATAGAAGCCTTTATGGCAACACATTAGACTCCAGCACCATATCACAGCTCATTAAAATAGAGGAACAGTGATGCAGTACTTTTTGCAGAAAGAGTATATGCCATATAAGGCAGCCAACTTGATCCTCTGTGGGTAGCACATTTTCAAGGCTCTACAAAAGTAGAGATTCAGGGTGGGATTTTTTCAAAAGTACTTGGCATTGTCCTAATTCTGTTCCCATTGAAGTCTGTGGGAGTTTTACCACTGAGTTCAATGGCAGCAGGGTTACGTCAACGTAGGTTGGCTGGTTTTGAAAGCTTCAAGTGATTCATCTTGTGGTGAAGTGCTAGATGGCGTGTTTTTATTTTTAATTTTTTAATTTTTCTCCTCAGTTACAAATGTCTTGTGGTGTGTGTTTTTTTACGTGAATCCATTATATTTATTTTTAGCTCATTAGGTCAGTTCATTGCCTATAATATTCCACTATGAGGATTGTTGGATGTACATTTCCAGTGTCTGACTCTATCTCCTTTCTGCTGCAAAAAGTACTTCCGGCTGTAGTGTAAATTCCAAATATTTCCCCTTTTTGTGAATATCAAGATGGTGTGCATTTTACTACTGCACCCTAATGTAAGTCTTCATAAGCAGGAAAAATGTGTTGTGGTGTTGTGTGGCTTTTTGTGTGGTGAGTGGTTAGATGGTATTTTAGAGGGTGAGGGAAAAATTCTGAATGATTCAATCTTGTGACAATGGAAATAAATTGAAATAGGTGTTAGGTATTTAGTAAAACTACTCTGTTTTTTTAATCTGCGCTTTTTTTCCCCCCCAGCAATTATTTTTTATAAATTTTGTTTAATGACTTTACTGTTTATCTAAAACTGATAGATAATTTGATTTTATCATTAATGCCAGTAACATCTTTGTACATAGTAACAGAATTGTGTGTCATTTTCAAAGGTATCCTGACTGAGCCTTTTGTTACTAGCCATAGCCTGTAAAAGGTGATGGGTGCTGTTAGCTCTCTGTTCGTTTAAGGCTAAGAAATCATTCTTTTTAGGATTCCTAATCCGAGTGCAATGTTAGATGCAATGTTTCAGTAGCTGCAGAATGAAAGCAATGAACTGTATAACTCCTATTGTTTACAGTCCACTGTTCTGCAACTGAAATTGGTTGCAGTATGCCTTTATTTTATATTACTTCATGCCTCTTCTCTTAGCTGTATTTTTATTTATTTGGTTATCAGGAATACATTGTACTATATTACTTCTGCTCATTTTAAGAATAAAAGCTAATAACTAGAAAACTGGAGAGGAGGAGGGGTGGCATAAGAGACCATATAATTTTAAAAGGATATTAATTACAGGCAGCTTGCTCCCTTTTGAATAACCTTTTCCCCAAACACATTTTGATATTTCAGTGAGCCAACTGGTTTAGACATGAAATATTTGAAGAAAGATGGCAACTTGCCTTTGAGAGGTCTAAAACCTTTGTCTGTAGCAAGTACAGGTAAATGATCTAATGGAGTGCAACTGTTTGAAAGATGATTTGTTTGTTTGACACAATTAGCCAGCAGTTCAGGGCTGTTTGGTGCTACCATAATGTAAATGTTTAGTAATAATACCCTGTGTATTTAACTGTGTGTGATTTGAAACCACGTTACAGTGGTCACCATTTGATGTAGCATGATATCCTAAGATACCTCAATCGTTTCCTGTTCGATGTGTAGGGGAATACTGAGGTAGTTCAGGTTTCACTGTTTGACACACAGTAGTATTTTAATGGATACAATATGAATGTATGGTGGAGTTACTTCTAGAGATGGACCTGAACTGGTAAGTTCTGATCTGAACTTCCTCAGTCTAGAAGAATAGAAATGGCATTTTGGAGTTTTCGTTCAGGCCCATTTCTACTCTTGGCAAATTTATGTTATTAGAATATAACAGTTTAAAGTATATTATTGGCCAAATCTGTTAACCTACACAGGAATGTTTATAGTTTGAGGTCCTGATTCAGCAAAATACTTAAGCAGGTACCTAACTTTTTAAGCACGTGAATAGCCCCGTACTTAAAGTTGGGCATCTGCTTGTGTATGTAGTTGAATCAGAGACAAAATGATTTTTTGGGGGTGGGGTAGGGTAGCAGGGGAGGAAGCTTACTATATGGTGAACTTAAGCTGTCTTTTCAAAACAATTTTAATATGAATAATTGTTTGTATATGCATTTAACCACCTTACAAAGAGTGCAACATCTGGTCGATTTTTTTATTTTATTTTTTCAGCGTTATCAAGAACTATGTTACCCAAGCAAGGAACTCCACCTGTAATATCTGCTTACTTCCCAGGGCAACAGACTAGACTTCCTGCATCATAAGCTCCAATTTTATTAAGAGGATTGCACATGTTAATAGAAGCAACATCAAATATATGCATCTGATTTAGCGTGTCTAATGTAAAAGAAAAAAGAGGTGCTTGAGCGACACTGTCATAAATTTGACTTTATAGTCCATCTGGACTTGGTTACTCTTTTCTGTAAAGTCTGTGCTCATCACAACTGCCAAAATATGGTCTGGAGGTAAAGCCAGCTATTAAAAAACCTAATGAATTCATTTCTAGTTCTAAGTCTTTAAAATGAGTTAATGTTTTTGATTTATTTTGTTTAGTATAAAGCAGTAGCTGACTGACTCTTCAAAGATACAAAGCTGTGCAGGCTAAATGAAAGCATTTATTTCATGTGCTTTTGGTGCTTAGAGCTGTGTGTATGCACACACCTTATTACTACAGGATGTACCAGTTTTTGCCCCTTCTGCTTAGAAGTAGTTCTTAGAAATTCACAATTTGTGGATTACAAAAACAACTTTTTTAAAAAATGGCAAATTACAGCAGGAATACTCCAATGTGTGTGCAATATTTATTCTGTGACATATTAAGTATGACCTCTGTTGATAACTATTCACTATGTGTGGGGGAAAAAAATTATTTCTGCAAGCCAGGGTTTTTTGTTTGTGGTGGTTTTTAACTGCATTCTATTTGGGAATTTTTGCACAAAAACTCTTCAAAACTTTGAAACACCCATTTTATATTAGCTATGCAAAGACTACAAAGTTAAAGTGCCTATTTTATTATGTATTTTATAACTGGGGTCAGACAGTTATCTAATATTTATATTTTTAATAGATATTTGTGTCTAATATTTACTGTTAAAACTTGGACAATTCTAGTAACAGACAACAGATTCAATGAATTCTAGATGCTGAAAACTTTTGTACTGTACCATTCTAAAAATTGTAAGTTTTGATAGATTAGGATGGATACACACTCTCAGTGGGTGCAATTCCATTTACTTATATCAGTTCTTTATTTGACCATTTGTTCTCCAGACAGTTTTAAATCAAACATATTGAATCTACCTTTTTCAAAATGTTTAAAAACTGAGGTCTATTGGCAAAATGTTACAAGATCTGTATTTTATGTGAAACTCAATACAACCAACCCATTTTGTGAGAGATTCAAGATGTCAGCGGAAGAATCTGGCTTTCACCTGATAAGGGTTTGCCCATCTATGTTCCTACATATCTACGGATCATTTTCTCTCCTTCTCCCACACACTTAATTTTTTTCTCTTTTTCTTATATAAAATATAGAGTCCTTGTCCTGATTTCTAAGAAATGATACAGATATCACTGCAGTGTCTCCTCCCATTTTCAGACAGTTCTAGCTTGATCTGTTGTGAATAAATATTTGCAGTCTCAACAGAAAGCATAGTTTGCAGTTGATACTCAAATAGCTTTGATCTATCCTCATTTTTTTCCTTTTGATTCAATAGTCTACTTTTTGGGAGACATGAAATTGGTCATTGGATTATTAAAGTGAGACAGATCTGGTCTAAATTGATGCTCTACTGTAATCTTCAAAACAATGTTAAAATGTAATACCTGGAACTCAGCAGTTTAATTTTCATGTCAGTATTATAAATGTTAACCTTTTTCTAAACTTACTTTTCTTGTAGACCATATATGAGATTGTGGGGAGCAGCAGCGGGTTAACCCTAATTACTATCCATGCTATACCATACTTTCATTTCTGGAACTTTCAAATGCATCTCATGTTTGGATCCAGACAAAATTGGGTATTCATAATTGCAGTTTTTTTTTTTTTTTTTTTTTTGCTTAACCTCTTCCTCTGTGGGTTATTTTATGAGAGGATTTTGCTTGTCTCAAAGAACTGTCCAAGGGTTTGGAATGTGCTTCACCTGTCACTTGATGCCTAACCTGTGTTCCAGTGTGTTGTCTGTCTTGCAGCATGTCAAAAGTGTATATAAAAATGTTACATTTTATATTTCTTTTACATTATGTTGTGAATAAAATATTTGAACTCTTTGGATTTTAATTGCCTAACTTTGTTCTTTTAAAAGAAAACAGAGGTGCTATTTTCCAAATCTATACTATCTGGCAAAAATTTTGCTCTCTGCACACTGCCACCCCACTCGATGAAAGAAGGGTGGGTGACACAGGCATAGCTAAGAGCAAAATATGAAGACCAGGGGATGGGCATAGTAAAGGAGGACAGAATTTGGCTTGGTGACTCTTCAGAAAAATCCCTTGTTTGCTGCCAGAAAACCACCCCCCCCCTTGTAAACTGACCGTATTTGATGTGAATATCATTTAGACATCATAACCATGGAAAGCTTAGTTGGTTGTAGTTCTGTAATGCATTGTACATGGGGCTATGCCTTTAAAGCACTTGGACACTGAAGCTAGTCCAGAATCAACCTAGGAAACTTAGGATTTTTCATACTGGATCAGACCAGATTTTTTTCCCCCTTCAATGTCATGATGCCTGTCCCTCTAGCTTGTTTAAATCTCTCTCTTAAGTTTCTCACAGTCTTCTCTGGTCCTGACTAACCTAAATAACTGTCCTCTACAATTTTTTTTTTTAAACCTAACTGTTCATCCCCTTTCCAGCTCATTTTAATGTATTTGTTAAACAACACAGGATCTAGTGTAACCCTCTTGCCAGGTGGAACCAGCAGCAACCAGGGCTGTGTTCAATATCTAAGGGTTCCTTTTCAACAATACAACACAGAACTGGCTCAAGCCCCCACCCAATAACCGGGGAAAATTACACACCACTCCTGGGTGCCTCTGAGAGGCAATATTTCCCCACTTGCAAGCACAGAGTCTGAGTGTAGAAAAGAAACTTTTAATGAAAGGTAGGAAGTCACCCAACATTAATTAGGGAAAATGCCACAAGCAGGATTCATGATCGTAAAACTGAGCAGGACACCCACCCCAGATTGTATCCCCACCCCTCTTACTTTCATTCTGGCTCCCCTGACTTAATGAGGAACCCTTTCAGCTGAGGTCACCCTCTCATTTGGGACAGGTTAAGCACAGTTCTGCTCCCCTGTATTCATACAATAAAGACAATAACATTCCACTACCCCTGCATTCAGTACTAAAGTGATTTGTAACCCAACACCAGCCAAAGCTGATCACTTTGAGCAACACAGCTCTATCTGCTGGATATCTTGGCAGAGTAGGTGTGTTCATGTAAATACAGTTTGCTTCTGAAGTCTCTCCCCCTCCCACCTAATTGTCAGGGGAGAACTCATTCAGGCCCTGCTTACACTGACACCTTGAATCACCCCACTGTTTACCTTTTGCCATGATGAAAGTTGACTCTTTCATCCTACTCTTTGCTTTGTCTTCTAGCCAGTTTTTGATCTAAGACAATGCTTTGCTTCTCACTGCAAGACTACTTTTCTTCTTTAGTAGCCTCTTGTGTCGGACCTTGTCAGAGGCCTTTTTGAAATTTAAATAGTCAACCAATTTATTCATAATTTAATGACTTATTCAAATAATTCTAAGATTAGTGAGCAAACAAAATATGTTTAGTGACAATTAAGGGTGCATCAAGACTGTCCAAATCCTTGAAAATGTGGAAATTTCCATCATTACTTGCCACCTTCACAGCTCTTGCAACAGTATTGATAACACACTGAAATTTTCATTTCCATCTTCAACTGAGTCCAGAAAGCACTTATGTATCTCAACTTCATCTGTCATGCAAAACCTTGATGGTGATATCTATACTTTCTTGTATCAATAGATTGACACATCTGACTATCACATAGTCCATTAATTTGGAAAATTATTCTGGTAAAACATTGCTGCCATCATCACCTGTGCCTGGATTTGTCAACTATCAAACACACTACAAAACTATTTTCCCCTTGTCCATGGGTATTTTGTGTGTGTGGATTGAGAGGTATGGGTGAAAACTACAGGAGAGATTGGGGTTAGAATTAGTGCTGTTACAAGGGTAAATGTTCATTTGTTTATTTAATATCTATGAAGCAGTTGTGATTCTGTCTTTATTGTTTTGTACTTTGATTTTTAGTGTTTCTTTAGAAAGGCAGGGGTGTGCACACACATGTGAGTTTAAAAAAATACATATTTTGTGAAAGCACAAAGAATGCTTTGGGACTTAAAAATGAAAATAAATCCCATAACAGCACTTAATCACTTCTCAAAAAAAAAAAAAATACACACATACTCTTCCTACTTGAAATGTGCATGTGTGTATTCACAGAGAAACAATTCAAGACAGCTGATAATGTGGTGTGAATTAAAGATAAGTGGGATAAAAATACTGTTCAATGAATAAATAAAAGCATTCAGTCACAAAGTCAGAAACATAGCAATACAATAAAGGCAAAGGGGGGAAAAAAGATGATTTAAGATTAAATTTGAAAACCTGGAAAGACCATGATGGCTGCCATTTGTAGGAGTTGAGAGACTGCTCTCACCACCAATGGTGATATTGTAAGAAGAGATCAAGAATGGTCAGGGACTAGATGTATGTAGGAAGCAAGGAGAGAAGAAAAAGGAGGGGAAAGGATTGGAAAAGTGGCTACTGGGGAGGGGGGGAGTCCAGCTTAAACAAAACAAAAAAAAAGTGATAATGAGGCAGTGATTGCATTCAGTTGTGTGAGAAAGTGAAGTAGCCAAATTCTGGGGAAATTGTGGACCTGGTATAGTCAAGGAAAGACGTAACTAAACTGGCTGAGGATTTCAGCAGAAACAGTCAAGTTAGTTGTTTGGGATCACAGGAAATGCTGCGGTGATGTTGAGAACCAGATTTATAATCATACATTAGTAGACTAGGGAAGAGAATAAAAATTCAGTCAAAATTGATGTGAAGCATTCGAACAGTGCAGGTAAATGGGAAGTTGGAGAGATACTTGAGAAAAGCTTCCTTCAAGATATGTAGCTGGAAAAGATTGGGACAAAGCCACTATCTTACATCTGGATAGAGTGACATTATTTTCTTTACAAACTTAAGAGCTTCTGTAGCAATATGTTACTACTA